ATATACATAATTATGTACCATGTGTACGGAGTAATGAAATGAAATATTTTCTTTACATCTATATTTTTATGCATACAGACAGTGGCTGATCCAGGGGGAGTAGAGGTTGTTAGCCCCCTCCCCTTTTTATGATATATATATAGGTCTTAAGTATATATGGTCCAAAAAATTATCTACTATTATTGGGATTGGGAATTACCCCCCCCCCCTCCCCCTCTTTCAAAAACCTTAGGTCCACCCCTACTACATGTGCATCTACCTTTAATATAAACTTTCATTGTAATATATAATAATACATATAATTTCATTTATACATACAGCATAATAAATCAATTAGTATCCCAACCTATAAATGTTTCTGTACATATTATATCTGAACTAATGGGCCATGGACTGTAAATGTCCATTGATGTATTTATGACCCAAAGGTCAACACGTCTAGTCAGGATTGGACAGTATCCAAACATACCTGAACACAGGTATAATACATGTTTGATGAACCACTGCCAAAATATTTTTAATTTATGAAAATTATGTAAATTTTAGATGTAGTTTGGTGTAACTTATCATTCATGCTTTCAAATGTCAAATATGTAAATGTACAATGAATATATATATACATTTGCATATGTATAGATTTTGTTTTACTTCATCTATTTTTTATTACATGTATACAAACTTAACAGAGACTTATGGTGATTGTTCAATTTTTCATCTCCTTTTTTTTTCTTTCTCAAAGATATGACTTGATTGTTTTGTGACAAATCAAATACTGCTAATTAGTGGGTTTTTTTTTTAAAGGTTCAAATTAAGCATTTACTACATCCAATTTTTCAAGTTATTCTTTTCCCTGATTCTCATAAAATCAATTTATGTGAAAAGTTAAATCACAAAAATACTGAACTCCGAGGAAAATTCAAAACGGAAAGTCCCCAATTGCAACCAAATGGCAAATCCAAAAGCATGAACACATCAAACGAATGGACAACAACTGTCATATTCCTGACTTGGTACAGGCTTGAGAGGTTATATTTACTATTTACCAAGCTTTATCACGAAAACATAAAAATATAAAGCTCTCACTAAAATTTTCAACTTTACAATAGATATTTTCCATGCAGTTAGATCAGTGTTCCTAAATTTGTGAATTTTTCATCAGAACCATTGAAGACAAATCATTTGATATTTATACCTGATCACAACCCTACCTCTCTCTAGCAGGTGTCATCTCCATCAATTCAATTCAATCTAAAATTATCTTAAAATCAGTTGTGATTCTTTTTCTCGTCACAATAGGACAGACCAGGGTCAGGGCTCACACTACTTCAGTATCATAGCCTTCATAGGGCGGAGGAACTTCTATGTTTCAAAATGATAGAGAAGTGATGAGACATAAAAAGAGAAATGCTTGATCGCCACAACACTATATAGTGTTAGCTTTTTATAATGATAAGTTAAAAATGTGCCTCAAATTTTGTTTTCTATTAGCCTTTTATTTCTTTATTGAAGTTAAGCCATTTTTCTCAATAAAATTTTTTAAGGAGTTCCATGGAACCCTGTGTCTCGCCTACAGTGTATGATTGCTGATTTCAGTGTAAACATGGTAAAAGTGTAATGTTGACTTAAAAAGTGAGTCCATTTATAGAATTTAAAAATAAATGGGGAATGTGTCCATGGGACACAGATGATGCCCCCGCTTGCATATAACGTTATGAAGGGACATAACTCAAGAATGATAAAAATTACGCTACCCAAATTCATACTTGATCTGAGTTTTATGGTAATAAGCATTGTGTATAAGTTTCATAACATTTGGTTGAGGCAATCTTAAGTTAGAAAACTGAAATGAAAAGATTCAGCAATTTTCCCATTCGTAAAGGGGCATAACTCTAGAAAGGTAAAAGTGATGCCACCCAAATTCAAACTTGATCTGTGTTTTGTAGTAATAAGCATTGTGTATAAGATTCATAACATTTGGTTAAGGCAAACTTAACTTAAGTTAGAGAACGGAAACGAAAAATTCAGGAATTTTTCCATTCGTAAAGGGCATAACTCTAGAACAATTTCGGTGACGCTACGGCGGAGGCATAAAAAATTCAAACTTTTTCTTTAGATGCTATTTCTTGGCCTTGAAGATTAGCTTCTGTCCAAGTTTCATAACAGTCCATGAAGGTTAACAAACTTATCTGATATCATATCCCAGACTTCTGTTATTGTTAACTGTAAAAAACTAAGTCCATCTATCAGAAAAATACTGAAAATGAAAAAAGGATTTTCAAAAGTTTGCTTCATATATTATCTCTTAATCATAAAAAAGCTTCTGCCAAAAGTTTCATAAAATTCTATGAAGGTTTGACAAAGTATTTGATGTGTAACAAACTTTAAATCCAGGCTGTATCTATTTGTTAACTGTAAACATGGTAAAAGAAACTAAGTCCATTTATCAATAAAATACGAGAAAAAAAAAAATTTCAAACTTTTGCTCTGGATACTGTATTTTGGGCATAAACAAGCTTCTGTCCAAATTTCATAACATTCCATGAAGGTTTGACAAAGTAATTGATGACTGAAAAACTTTAACCTCAGACTGAATCTGAATGTTAACTGTAAAAAAAACTAAGTCCATTTATCAGTAATTATGGAAAAATGAAAATAAATATTTTCAAAAGTTTGCTCTGGATACTGTATTTTGGTCAGGTCATAAACAAGCTTCTGTCAAAATTTAATAAAATTCTATGAAGGTATGACAAAGTTATTGATGTCTTAATAAGTTACTCTTTAAAACCTTGAACCACAGACTGAACCTAAATGTTGACGCCTCAGACGGAACCTAGGATCGCTATGTCTCGCTTTCGCAACAAATGTTGCAGGCTTGACAATAAAAAAGAGATTCTGTGGGCACAGGTGCTAAGTCTGTGAGGAAAGACTTCCAAAGCAGCTCCCTGGAAGCTGAGAAATAGCCAGTGTTCTGGAAAAGATGAGATTTTCATTGACCATGAAATTGTTATTTTTTGCAGGAGTTCAATGGTCTATTTGAATTTTCAGGTGAAAGGTCCTTGAGAAGGTCAAAGGTCCTGTTTAAAGCATCAGTGTAAGGATAGGAGGTTCTTGAAATATGTGATTCAAAATAGGAGTCCCCACCCAGGTAAGACAAATCCCCGACCTCGGATCCACACTACCAGGGGTTTTTCTGGGTATTTTGGGAAAAAGGACCCTGGCCAGTTTTAGGAATTTTTTCACACTACTCTTTTCAATGAAATTGGGAAAACAGCAAATACACCAGATTTGAGTTTTAGTGTGTTTAGTTCATTAAAAGTTATCTTTTATTGTGAAAATAAAGTAAGAAACTTCCAGAAATTTACTGGCCCTTCAAAATTGAGAAGAAATTACCTCTTGGAATTGTAGTTATATGTTTACACTATAAAAACATCTACATGTAATATCAACATTTATTAATGATTAGGAAAATTACTGTCACATTTTATTAGATTTTGACATGAAAATTTGTGAACTAAAAGTAATTTTTGAGTTTCTGTATAAAATTTTTCCTGCTTTTTCCTTTCTTCCATATATCTTTTGGTTTTCAATTCTAGTGTTTATATTTCATCATCAACATGTATTTTGTCACCTGCCTGGAATTATTTTTTTTTTTATTGTATTTGATCGGCAAACCCGGAATTACCCTTATCTGCCCCCGGAATCTGACCCGGTATTGTAATTGTCTTCATTTCAGGTTTAAGGCATCCATTGTTTTTCAATGTTGTTTTTGTCAGTCATATACGATTTTACTCGGATTTACACATTACTTGTTGGCGATTTTCGGCATAAAGCTAGGGGTTGAACAAAATGAACATCGCTGTCATGAATATTAAAGATGAAAATAAATTTTGAGATCGTTTGGGAATTTTGCTCCCAAAATTGGGAAAAAATGTAGGGTATTTGCCATTGGGAATGGGTCCGAATACCGGACCCTGTGGAATGCTAGAAAAATCCATGACTACATAGGAGCAATATACACTGTAGTCTAGAGAGAATCAAGAAGAGAAGTAAGTATGATGTCACCCAACAGTAGGTTTTAAACAGAATGAGGGGGTCAACCTAGAAGAGTGTGATCAAATTTTTTTTAAGTGAATATCTATTTAAATCATGCCATTTTCTTAATCTGCCTGTGAAAAAGTAGGACGATGCATAGAAAAATGTCATGTGATACAACTTTTTTAACCTCAACATTGAAACAACAACTTTCCCAGAACCCTCATCTTCTTTCAAGCTATGAATGACAACTAATGAAAACTAAATTTAAAGTCAGCAGGAGTTTATCACACCCAATCATGTCTATGGGACATCATTTGTATGCATCCATATAATTATAACTTACTGATTTATACTTAGTATAAAACAACTGACTATCACAATTACTTTATCATGTAGCTATGTTGAAAGACATGCATACTGTCAAATCATAGAAATACAAATTGTTTAGTCTCTAATAAATCTTGTAAGATTTCTGATGCTACTTTTGCTAGATAGGTATAATTTGGGTACTAGAAGCAATTTGGGTACTGTGACGTTATATTATAGAATATTCAATACAGTGTGTTTAAGTTAAGTCTTATGTTTTTAACCACTTGATAAAAATATACAATCAGAATATACTAAACACTCAATATTTTTAAATAAATTCAATTTCACAGTTACTTTTAACATTGTTTCACTGTTAAGATACCAAAGGAAAGTTATAATCTGCATGAGGAAAATTGTCCATGCCTTAGCCTAGGCTATACTAGAGTATACGTTACGCATGTACTGACTCCTGGATGACTGTTCAGTGTTTGGGGAAATACACACAGGCTATTTTCAGGCAAAATGCGGTTGATTTTGGTGTTAAATGCAGCATTAGACAGCTGTAGTCTGAAATTGTAAAGGCTTATGCAAGCAAACTTGCATTTCTTTTTATATATGCAATTAATACGTGAAATTCTTCACATTTTTTTACTTACGAAAATTAGCCTGCCAAATCCTATGACAGCCCAGGCACTTCTACCTTCACGTTGGAGAGCTCACAAACCAATTAAGGTAAAGATAGGAAAGTGTCCGATGCGGGAAAATTTAAATATTTTTTATCATGCGGCTATATATTATAATCTTGGACATAATATATTAAGTATACTATTCTTAGCTGACACAAAAAAATTTACATTATATATATGTGTATCATAGATCAAATTTATTCGTTCAGTGTTTGTTTACTTGTTTTTGTGTATTGCAGGGACTTTCTATACTAAGTATATTAGTATAGAAAGTCCCTGTGTATTGTCTTTTTGATCGAGTTAAGATATTTCAATTGATATTTTATATTGTGTCTTTTTATGTTGTAATGTTACACTACTGTTTCAGGTTAGGGTGAAGGTTGGTGTCTGTTAAAATGTTTAAACCCGCTGCATTTGTATGCACCTGTCATTTATAAGTCAGGAACCTGTTGTTCACTGGTTGTCGTTTGTTGATGTGGTGCATAAGTGTTTCTCGTTTCTCGTTTTTTATATAGATTAGACCGTTGGTTTTCCTGTTTGGATTGTTTTCCACTAGTGATCACTTGTTATTTTGGGGCCCTTTCCCGGGGGCCCTTTATAGCTTGCTGTTCGGTGTGAGCCAAGGCTCCGTGTTGAAGACCGTACTTTGATTGTTTACTTTTTATAGACATTGTGACTTGGATGGAGAGTTGTCTCATTGGCACTCATACCACATTTTCTTATTTCTATAATTATACGAATTTCTCTTAAAGACGAAAAAGGATTTTTTTAGTATTCTAAGTAAAATCTGGGTACTAATATAATTATTTTAATAGTCCCAGGTAAAATTGTATTTTACTGAGATACTACAAGAACAAGAACATATTTTATTACCAATTAAGGGCCCACAAGGGGCATATCTATAGAACATACATGCGGAAGGAAAAAGAATATTGATTGGTATGGATACATTGAATTTAAATACACAATCAAAATACATATTGCAACGACTTTCTATACTAAGTATATTAGTATAGAAAGTCCCTGTGTATTGTCTTTTTGATCGAGTTAAGATATTTCAATTGATATTTTATATTGTGTCTTTTTATGTTGTAATGTTACACTACTGTTTCAGGTTAGGGTGAAGGTTGGTGTCTGTTAAAAAGTTTAAACCCGCTGCATTTGTATGCACCTGTCATTTATAAGTCAGGAGCCTGTTGTTCACTGGTTGTCGTTTGTTGATGTGGTGCATAAGTGTTTCTCGTTTCTCGTTTTTTATATAGATTAGACCGTTGGTTTTCCTGTTTGAATTGTTTTCCACTAGTGATCACTTGTTATTTTGGGGCCCTTTCCCGGGGGCCCTTTATAGCTTGCTGTTCGGTGTGAGCCAAGGCTCCGTGTTGAAGGCCGTACTTTGATTGTTTACTTTTTATAGACATTGTGACTTGGATGGAGAGTTGTCTCATTGGCACTCATACCACATTTTCTTATTTCTATAATTATACGAATTTCTCCAAAAGACGAAAAAGGATTTTTTTAGTATTCTAAGTAAAATCTGGGTACTAATATAATTATTTTAATAGTCCCAGGTAAAATTGTATTGTACTGAGATACTACAAGAACAAGAACATATTTTATTACCAATTAAGGGCCCACAAGGGGCATATCTATAGAACTTACATGCAGAAGGAAAAAGAATATTGATTGGTATAGATACATTGAATTTAAATACACAATCAAAATACAATTATACTGTAATAAAGCGGCTTGATTTATAGTATATAATATAGTTACATGAAAAATAAATAGATCTAACTCATATATTGACTTTGATAAATTTCCCAAGAGCATTAAGTACCTGATTGTCTTCACAGCTTAATAAATTAACGAATTTTTGCTGATTGTCCAGTAAAGACCAGTATAAAAAAAAATGTTTTTTTTTGGTTTTGGCAAACTACATGAGGGTCCACTGGACCGGCTTTACAGAATAGAGAATAATGGGCAAAAGGTGCCGAATAAAGGTTAAAAAAAAAAAAAAAAAGAATAGAGAAAAGTAGGCATTTTTTTTTAAATGATGGGCAAAAAGATAAAGAATAGAGAAACTTGAATGCACCCTGGCACTGGTATCTGAAAAAAAAACTATTTTTTTAAGAGACAAGTGCCTGTGCTTGAATTGCATAAAAAAAGAACAAAGAAATTACCCCCCCCCCCCTCCCGACCCTCCTAAGATTTATTTTAAACTCAATGTATTTATTTCCTTCCATAATTTTCTATAGGAATAAAGTATTTTATATCCGATTCGAAGTTCCATATGTCTACCATTGTAAACGTCCACTGTGACCTCAGCTTCGTCTCTAGTTTTTTCATTGGGTTTCGAATTTATGTATATACTGCTTGCAAATGTGCAATGTATATAGATGTATCATTTTTGTTTTACATAAACAACTATGATATATGTTTCATAATTCTATTTTTTTTTCTATAGATCATATTGAAAACCTTCTGCTGGTGTTGGACGGTCATTCTACGAGGGAAGCATCCACTTAGTAGGCCGTGCGTTTAAATACTGACATTATCAAAATCAAACATTGTTCAGTTTATAAACTTATATGTTACTGTACAAAACCTAAAGTTGCAATCCCCTAAAGCAAAAAAAAGGAACAACATGCTAAAGGGACAATAAAACCATAGGTTGAAGAAAAACATCTAGGCCAGAGGAAAAGAAAAACAGACCACACCTAGACCAAAGGAGATGAAAACCAGACACATTAACATCTAGGCCTTAGAAAAAGAAAAACAGACCACACTTAGGACTAAGAAAAAGAAAAACAGACAACACCTCTGCCAAGGAAAAGAAAAACAGACAACACCTAGGGCAAAGGAAAAGAAAAACAGACCACATCCAGGGCAAAGGAAAAGAAAAACAGACCACATCCAGGGCAAAGGAAAAGAAAAACAGACCACACATAGGGCAAAGGAAAAGAAAAACAGACAAGCAGATTAACAACAGTCCACTTAACACTACAACTCAAAATTAAACAACATACCCCTCTGTCTAATAAGATGAAGAGCAGCAATAACAAGACTATAAGGTTAATTATTGTATTTTATTCGTGAAATTGTTATCTCATACCTGTATGTACGCATGGCGTATTTGCCACTTCATTTGAACTTTGGTGGATAGTTGTCTCATTGGCAATCATATCTCATCTCCTTATTTTTTATAATAAAGTCCCCATTTGTTTAGTATGTTTCATTTTAACTATGCATAAAAAGATGTGTTGGTCAAAGGTGAGCGAGTCAGCAGCCAAAAAATACGTCTACAAAACCTAGACAAACTATATAGGAAAGTCTTAATTGAATTATGAATAAATTTGCATTCATAAACACATTTTTTTTAAAGAGATAGGAGAAGAACGGCGAAAACCATACTTTTCAAAATTTAAGTGAATTGTTCATATTTTTGCCGAGCTTGCGAAATTTAGTTCGCGAAAGCGAGACATAGCGACCCTAGATTCCATCGTCGGCGTAGGCGGCGGCGTCAACATTTAGGTTCAGTCTGTGGTTCAAATTTTTTTATACATCAATAACTTTGTCAAACCTACATGGAATTTTATGAAACATGGACAGAAGCTTGTTTGTAATTAAAATACAGTATCCAGAGCAATTTTTTTTTTCGTATTTTACTAATAAATGGACTTAGTTTTTTTTACATGTAGTTAACATTCAGATTCAGTCTGAGGTTAAAGTTTTTCAGTCATCAATAAATTTGTCAAACCGTCATAGAATTTTATGAAATTCGGACAAAAGCTTGTTTATGACCAAATTTTTACAGTATTCAGAGCAAAATTTTGAAAATATCTATTTCCATTTTTCTGTATTTTACTAATATATGGACTTTTTTTATATATATATATACAGTTAACATTCAGATTTAGTCTGAGGTTAAAGTTTTTCAGTCATCAATAACTTTGCCAGACCTTCATGGAATTTTATGAAATTTGGACAGAAGCTTGTGTATGACCAAAATACAGTACTAGTATCCTGAGCAAAATTTTGTAAATATTTATTTTCATTTTTCTGTGTTTTACTGATAAATGGACTTTTTGCACAAGGTCATGTTTTTCTTTGACTGTTAATGACGTCTTGACACTAAATCCATTGGATGTTAGATGACATTGATTGATATTTTAGTCTTAGATATATACGTGATTTTTTTTATTAGTTGTTATTGGCTTTGAACTAGCTGTCAGTAACTGCTCAGATCTGTACTCAGTGTCTTTTTTGTTGTTAGGGATGGGGGATAGATAAATACCTTGCCACGTCCGTTCTGTGTTTTTGTTAATACCACTGTCCCAGGTTAGGGGAGGGCTGAGCGCTCACAAACATGTTTAACCCCGCGACATTCTTTATGTGCCTATCCAAAGTCAGGAGCCTGTAGTTCAGTGGTTTTCGTTGGTTCATGTCTGTCCTATTTGTTTTCCGTAATTTGGGTCCTTCATAGAGTTTGATGAAACTTTGGCAGAAGCTTTTTTAAATATTAAGAGATAATGTCTGAAGCAAACATTTTAACATATATTTTTTTCTTTTTTAGTATTTTTCTGATAGATGGACTGCGTTTTTTACAATTAACATTTACAGACAGTCTGGGATTAATTTTTTTTACAGGATAAATTTGTAAACCTTCATGTTATGAAATTATGAAAGAAGCTAATCTTCAAGAACAGAAAATAAGATCTAAAGAAAATGTTTGATTTTTTTTTAAATTCTATATTTTACTGATAAATGGATTCGCTTTTTAAGTCAATATTACACTTTTACATTGACAGCAGGAATTACAGGCGATCGAAATACATAATTTTAAGATATGATAACTTTCTATGGTATAGTATATATATATATATATATATATACGAAGATGTGTCACAAATACTAGGTGATTGTTTTTAAAAGGTGTGGGATTTTCGGAAGGATCATGTTTTGGATTTGTTTTAAAAATAATAATATTAACTTTATTAGATCAAATGATACCAATAAGAGGACCAACTGCTACAATAGTATATAATACTAGTATTAACTCACCAACATGTTGGTAATTTTCAATTAAATGAAGAGAAATAACATATATATGCAAATTTATGTTACCTTTTTTTTCCACACATGAATATCCGGGTCCCTTTTTTACTTTTCAGATGGCATATTTGTGTAATGTAGGTAGACAACCTAATTCTCCTCTGCATCCATCATTTGAGAATTGAGCTAGTTTTTATGCCCCGCCGCTAGGCAATGAGTGAGCATTGAGTGTTACCATTGACCGTCCTTCCGTCCTTCCGTCTTTCCATCCGTCTTTCCGTCCGCCCTTCCGTACCGTCCCAACAGTATTTTCACATATTATATAAGCAAGCTTGAGCGGGGGCATTTGTATCCTCAGACACATTCTTCTCTTATCTAAGAAAGTCAAGGATTTACGTAGGAAAATATATATAAACTTGGAAAGTGAACAAGTCCCCATATCTTTCATCAAGGATTTGTTGACTATATATCAATGCTCCCATCAGAGATATATATTTAATTGTATGGTATGTCTCTTGTCCCACTAATGTTTAAAAGTGTTGTTTTTGAGTGATTTTCCAGAGGCATTAAAGTTGACATATGTGTTATACTGAGTAGTTATACTGAGTAGTCTCAGATTAAAGATAATTCTTAAATATTCATATTGTTGAAAATTTTCCGATTTTTTTTTTTTTGGAGAGTCTCTATTTTGCAGAGGCATTCAAGATAATTCCTAAATATTTATCTTCTTCTTCCTCTTATCAGAGACACATACATACTTGTCTCTGCTCTTATGGTATCCAGCTATCCATCATATTTTTGGTGATTACTAACTGCTGATCTTGTTAAAATTTAAAAAAAAATAATCTTTTTTTCACATTTATGAAAATATTTGAAATGATTTTTAGGTCCGATTTACGCCCAGCATTGTTAAAAACTAGAACTCTTGTCTTTGAAGGAGTTACGGATCGAGTACCATCTCGAGTCCGGAATAACTTCCTAATTTTATATTTAACCTGAGTTGTCTCCCTTCTTAAACTGAAATGAAACTTGAAAACTCCTGAAATTACAACTTACAATACAAACCCCCTGATAGCTTCAACATAACCCAAGCATGTCTTCAACTGATGTTCAAACACTGATGGAAATGGGGTTTACTCAAACGAGAGCGTATGTTATATGATAATTGTTATTTGGACCAATCCACATTTAAAAAAAAGACGAAGGACACTTTCAATTTCCCTGAATCACTGATTCTGTCATGACTGGATTTTTCGTATGATAAGGAAAAAAAATCCCACAATACTTCGAAGGCTTTCACAAGAATATACATAAAGGCTTTGATGTTCATGTAGCAGTAAATTATACTGAAGTCTGAAGCAGGTTTGCTTGACCGTCTAGCATCTAGTAGTGCCTAGTAACACATGCATGACATGTATGTATGTATAATTTTGGTAGATTCCACTGTTATTTGGAGAACCCCTCAAGTGCTGCGAGGGTACAGTGGAATCTGTGTACACTCCCTATCTGAGGGGGGGTAGGACCTTTATCAGGACTCCGGGATCAGGTGTTTTTAAGCTTGGGATTGATCCTTTCCGGATCCGGGAATTCTTTTTTCGAATTTCGGGATGTCTGGATTTTAATTTTTTTAAATCGGGACCTCGGGATTCCATGTTTTTAAGCCCGGGATTTCGGGATCAGGACCCCTCCTACCCCGCAAATTTATGACTGGAAAAGGTGATCTATTTATTAAAAGACCACTTATAAAGGGATTCCAGATAATCCAAAAAAAAAATTTCAAGTCAGAGTTTTGTAAGCAATAATATGATTATCCTTAGCTTTCATGGCTTTAGGAACTGTATTATATATATCACTAGATGTTTTCGTAATAAAGGATTTTTCTTTAAATTTGACATGCAGTGTCCTTTGAATAAAATAGCAGATGAAATATTCACGGAAGTGACAATTACGGAAGTAAATGGGAGTGGGCAGTTTACCGGATGGGCGGAACTACTGGACACTACTGTATATATTATATATAAGGACAATCCCCACCCCAACACAAAGGCAGTGCTAGGACACTGGGAAGTCTTTATTATGGTGGAGGAAGCCGAAGTTCTTGGAGAGAACCACCAGGTTACTAAGTGAGATCAGACAAACAGAAGAGATATCAGCAGATTGATCTCCAGGTCAAAGTCAGGGGCATAACTTTGACCATCCAAGGCCCTGAAGTACTGCCAGTGATTGGAGTAACCTCTTCTTTTTCCTGCTAATGCTAAAAAAAAAGATAGAATAACACAAAGATACAGACCATAACTTCTAGCTTGTTAATAGAGGTTGTGAGTCATACTCAGGGTTCTCACATAGGCGAGTCCATGAGTCCTGGACTCATGAAAATCTGTCTGGACTCATCATTTTCAAAACTGGTGAGTCCAAAGATGCATCAAGATAAAAATATTTTGTATAAACTAAACACCCATATCATTTTATAGCAAAAGTATAAAAGTAATCTGAATTTAATGTCATTTTATTGCTCTATTAGGTCATGGAGACTAAAATAATAAATTATATTGCAATAAAATATCTTCTTCTTACTGTTGGACTCGCCATGGCCAAAAATGATGAGTCTCTGGACTCGCCTTTGAAAATCCTTAGTGAGAACCCTGATACTCAGTATGAACTCCACTCTAAAGCAAGGTGTGTTCAACTTCAATCTAAATTGACAAGGATTGCCAGTTTTCCTGTCAAAAACTGACCACAATGATAGAGCAAAGTGTGCTTAACCCTCTTGCTGCAGGAGGGACACATGTGTTATACCAGTTGTGCTGGAGGGACACATGTCCATGTTTTAATTTATGCAAGCTTCTCATTATCACATTGCTGTATCTATTTCAAAATACCAAAGATTAAACAGTGTAATATTTTTCTTCAATGGGTCCCCAATGTAATGTCATTAAGGTGTGACATCATTGTTGGGCATGTGACATCACAGACTTCCAGCTGTCTTATTTTCTGGCACACAAAATGCAACCATATAGACAACTGGCAGCTAGAGGGTTAAAGTGGTAGGAAACACCAACAACCAATTATTGAATCAATCAATGAAGGAGAAGAATGGCCACTAAAGAACTGTTCCTTTAGTGTGTGGTTGTTTTTTAGGATATTTTCTGGATATCCATTCTTACATCATTTACCCAAAAAACCTGGCCATTGTGAACAAGCAGAAAACATTCAAACAAAATCTATACAAAGATAAGGGGAAAGGGCTATGGGGGAATTTAGTCGTGTAAATGTAGATAGTCAAGAACTACAGAAAACCCTAAAAAAGTAGTAGTACATGTACATGTACAGCTATATTTTTATAACCCTTTTATCGTAAAAGTTAACAACTGCATGAAGAAAAGAGAGATATTTGGTTCCTTCTTTTCATCATGTGCCATATGTCTGCTGTATTTATATGACATTATAGTTAAGAGAAATAACTAAAGCATAAAACATGAAGTGCTATTCCAGTACAACTGACATTATGTATGAAGAATGGACAAGACTTTATGTTATAGCATATGGGAGTCTAAATTTTTCTTCCTCACAATATTATACAAGTACACTGTGATTTCCTATTAAAATTGTATATGCCTGTATGCGTGGGTTATTAAAAGTGCCTTTCAACCCCATAGAATTTACCATGGAATAGCCATCAACAATTTTAAATTGTGAAAATATTAATGGAGCAAGGTGAAGAAACTATATATATATATATATATATATATATATATATGTAGGACTCTAAAGTGCGATGGTACTCTAAAGTGCGATGGTCACGCTGAAGTGCGATGGTCTACGCTAAAGTACGATGGTATATCACGCTAAAGTGCGATGGACCAAAAGGGTAATGTTAAAGGGCTTAAAACATTAAATTACATGGATGTTAACAAATAGTCTTTTTGCATTTAAGCTAGTATGCTAAGGTATAACATATGTGATAGGCTTTATAATTTACCGGTAGGATTAAGTGATTGTTTCTAAATTTAACAGACCGACCTCGTAATAATTGCTTAAAAGGTAATATAGGTGTCACAGAATACTATATTTCCTGTAAATGATTTTTTAATAATTCGGGCGTATTAAATATTTGGATATTTGGTGTAGCTTGCCGTTCACACAGTCTATCACTAATGTGAACACCTCCCCAGTCGTCATTGTAAATTACAAATAAAAAATTCGTTCATTGTCGGAATATGTAACATTTATTTATCACATATGTTAAGCTCTAAATTAAGTGAGAGAGAAATGCGATGCTTTCCGAGCTTTCTCCTTTTTCGTAGCGAGTACAAATACATGTTATATTTTCCTACAGTGTACAAACTAATGTTTAAGCCGACAACTTATAATTTACGCATGAAAACATGTACCTTTATTTTACCGACGTTACTTTTCAATAAAATCGACAATATTTAAACGGGGACCGCAAAGTAAACTGCAAGTTACATAAACAGTGATTTAAATGTATCCGTTTACTTCCAATAGAAGCAGGATACAGGATAATTATGCGTATACTATTTTGTATCTATATAGTAAAATGGTCGACTGCAGGACACAAGTCATTCTTCCAGCACCAAAAAAAAAAACACAACACATTTGCTTCAGCCGACAAAGCATGGTTAGGTTTAAATTAATTAAGTCATGGACATTTGGATTAAAAGTTGATTATCAAATATTCCTAATTTATCTTCCGGTATATTCATTTTGGGTTTGTATAAACGACTGTTAACGTCATAATCCAACTACGTTTCCTACGTCTATATTTTCGCGGACCATCGGACTTTAGCGTATGGAGGCATCGCACTTTAGCGCACACCATCGCACTTTAGCGTGACCATCGTACTTTAGCGTCCCCATCGCACTTTAGAGTCCTACATATATAAACAAGTCTAAATTGAAAACAACGTTCAAACCTATGATTGCGTTGGATAAAAACCGCAATTTTTATACGTGTGCATGCAAAACAAATTTCTTGGTAGAGGGGTCTAAATACAGCACAAACAACATTTTCCAAAAGACCAAAAAAGTGGAAAAGTATATTTTAACAAAACGCATTTGACTAGCAGGTGGAACAACGGATGTTCTTATATTATATAATGACTCTATTCTGGTAATTTATTGACCAGTTAAATAATCAAGACATCAAAATAATTGAAATTCTTTGGGCTGTATAAACTACGAACCAGTGAGTATAATTAATGATGTCTGCTATATTTTCAGGGAAAGGGCTCTTGCAAAAACAAATTACAAAGGTGTACAGCTAGCAATGGACTGGTAAGTTTTATTGTGATTGAAATACAGATCCTTTGTGCAAGCTAAGCTTACAAGGATCTGAAAACACTCCATTCTATTTTCTGTTTTAAAGACATTTTAGAAACATCTGGCTTTGTCGGATGAATACATACCTTAAAAAATTTCAAGGCTGAAATTTCATTGGCTGATGATATAATTACCAGTACCAATTCTTGTAAGCAAAGCTTGGACGCAGGAACTGTATTTTAATCAGATTGGATTAGTTTTATTAAAAAAGATAGTAATGATGATATAAACTAAAAAAACCATTGTACTTTTGGAATAATGTTGCTCATTGATGTAAAGACAATACTTATGTTATTACATCACAGTAAGAGTTGATTGTTCAATGACACCATTGACGCTGATTGACCTTGTGTCAACCGTTGTACTCATTCATAAGAAAGAAATGGAGTTTGGTCTATAGTTTACACCTGCATATCCTAATATTTATTTTAATTATTGTATCAGTGTGTTATTTAATTGATACAACTTTATACAGCAACAAGTGTTAATTATGGTGGAAATACAGCAACAAGTGTTAATTATGGGGGAAATACAGCGACAAGTGTTAATTATGGGGGAAATACTGCGACAAGTGTTAATTATGGTGGAAATACAGCAACAAGTGTTAATTATGGGGGAAATACAGCGACAAGTGTTAATTATGGGGGAAATACTGCGACAAGTGTTAATTATGGGGGAAATACAGCGACAAGTTTTAATTATGGGAGAAATACAGCGACAAGTGGTACTTACGGGGGAAATACAGCGACAAGTTTTATTTATGGGGGAAATAGGAAGAACAGATCACTTCTCAGTTACTGTGGATTAAGTTATTTTCGGTGGGACCAATTTTTGTGGATCGAAGAAACATATTGTTTTATATGGATTATTGACTTCATGGTTTTGCCAAAGTTTTGTACAAGCCTATGAAAAATTGATATTTTGTTGAACATTCAAATTTGTTGTTCATCTACATGTATTCCCATGAAATCCATGAAAATTGGTACCCAATGAATAAGAATGAATATATAAAAATACTGAAAATGTAATTTACCAAAGTAGGAGGTATTATTTGGCCCCTAAAGTGTCAGAAGTATAAAAAAATTCATCAATTCTTTCAAGATAATGTAAATCATGGTCATCTTATTGATAAATGGTTAGGATAACACAGTCATACAGTCTGGTCACTTAAGTGCAGAAATGTCATTGTGATGTCACTGTGACCATGGTCATGATGGTGGCATTGTAAACTTTTCAAATTGGCATATTTGACAATAAAAGGCCATTCATTACATAAAAATTAGATAGGAGCAAATGTTTTACTGAAAAAAGATATCTGACTTTAATACATCAATATCATTGTATATAAAACGTCGCCAGCAAAACAGTTTTGGTGAGGCTTTTACTCACATCTGAATATTAATGACAATATTATATATATATCATGTATATCGTATTACCAAAACTCTTGCATTTAGATTTTTTAAAGGGATAATATCATTAAAATACTGGTTGTTTATAGGTTGTTTGCACATGAAGGTGATGCTGATATAGATGAACCATTTGTAGCACCTGTAGGACACACACTTGGTAAATCTTCAGGTAAATAAACATTGTAGCACCTGTAGGACACACAGTGACACTCTTGGTAAATCTTCAGGTAAATAAACATTGTAGCACCTGTAGGAAACACTCTTGGTAAATCTTCAGGTAAATAAACATTGCAGTGCCTGTAGGACACACTCTTGGTAAATCTTCAAGTAAATAAACATGGTAACATAGGGGTACATATGTGGTAAATTAGGTTATTAGTCCCCTACCAACGAAGTCGAAGGGGACTTTAGGTTTGCACTCTGTCCGTCTGTCTGTATGTCCATCCGTCAGTCCGGCAAATCAGTTTTCCACACTTTTTTTCTTCGTGCTTGAAGATATTGATTTGATATTTGGTGTATTGTTTAATCATGACAAGTTACAGATCTAATTTGAATTTTGTTCCAGTCTGACGATTTTGTGCAGAGTTATGTTCCTTGAACTTAAAAAATTAACTCAATCAGTTTTCCACACTTTTATTCGCCATGCTTGAAGATATTGATTTGATAAGTGGTATATAGTTTTATCATGACAAGTTACAGATCAAGTTCGAATTTTGTTGTGGTCTGATTATTTTGTGCAGAGTTATGGTCCTTGGACTTAGAAAATTCATTCAAATAATCAATTTTCCACATTTTTTTCGTCATGCTTGAAGATATTGACTTGATATTTGTTATATAGTTTACACCATGACAAGTTATAGATCAAGTTAGCATTTTGTTCTAGTACAATGAATTTTTAACCGGTAGGGGACTATGTATTGCCAGGCAATACTCACAGAATGCTTGTTTACATCAAAGTGAAAGGGACAAGGTGGTGGAGTGGTTTAAGTAGTTCATCTACTGTATCACTAAGCTGTCAACATTTAGGTTGTGAGTTTGAACCACACACTAGGCAGGTGTGTTCGACTCCGATCTTAATTGACTAGGATTGTCAGTTTTCCTGCTGAAGGTTGTGGATCTCTCAGGGCACTCCGTGTTTTTTTTCCACCAATAAAAACTTACAGCCACAATATAGCTAATAGTGCTGAAAGTAGTGTTAAACTCCAACAACCAAACAGCCAATCATCATGGCAAATAAACCCTGTAGCATATATAGAACAAACTCTTGGAAATTGCATACATACTGTGGGACACACACTTTTTTAATCTTTTGCTTAAATAAACTTTGTATCATGGTAGGTACATGCTCTTTTGAAATCATCATATTATCAGGGTAAAAACACAATGTAAATCCTGTAGGTCACATTTTGGATAAATCAGGTAAAAATACTGTATATTGGGTCATTTTCATGTATTGTTTTGTTCATGACTTGAGTCTTAGAAGGGGCCTTTAAATTGTTGTCATGTTTATTTTTTGTTTACCACAAACACAGCAAAAATAAAACACCCTAATAAAAATTCCCAATATCAGTATGTCGTAGCATGCTTATCTGAAATTAGATTATGAACTAAGGAAGTAGTTTTAAATTTTGTGTAAAGGTAACATCTGAAAAAAAATAAACAATTTGAAACCTAAATGTTAATGGGTAATTGACGCTTGGATAGCAATGACTGTTTAAACTGTCTTATTTGGGAAGTGAGCTTTTTCACTAGTTTGATCTGCATTGTTTGCATCTGTTATCTGTTATCTTAAAAAAAACCTTATAAATATGTTGTATTATATTCATATAATTTTTAATAACCAGTATTGGTAGCGGAGATTTTTGCTAATAAAGCAAAACACTTTTTAAAGTAAATAAACAAATGAAACACTTGCCAAAGAGCTGATTATTATGGATTCATTTAATTTTGCATAGCAATGTTTGTGGATCGAGGATATTTTTCGTGGATACCTGATTTCATTGTTTTTTTAATTTTTTTACAAACAAGCCTATAGGAAATGAGTATTTCTGTAAACATTTGAATTCGTGGTTAACCTTTTCCTACAAATTCAGTGGAAATTAGTATAAGAATAAAAGAATCCCCAGCATTTTGATATCTTCTGTAAAATGATTTTAGAATCAGAGAGTAGTCAACCAATGGAAACATCCAACCAAGAACCAGGACCTAGTGACAGTGCAGCTGGAGGGGAACCTTCTGGTGAACCAGTGGGACCAGTTCAGGCAAACTCACTGAAGTGTGATGAGTAAGTATTGTATAAAACCAGGATCCAGTTGGTTTAATGGAGCTGGGTAGTTATTCAAATTTTTTCAAGTTAATTAACTGACCATGCTGAAATTTGATAAATATATTTTGTTACCAGGATTAATAATTAAAAATGAGGTTGAAACAAGTCGTCACTCACTCATCCTTATTTCATTTATCTAAGTAATTTAGGGAAGTTTATCAAGAGTAAGTTAAATATAAGGTGTTTTTTAATCAAAATTGCATTATCATAAATACTTTATAATACAAATCAGAAAAAGAAAATGAAACATGTGACTGTGTGTTTCTTTTTAATAGTTACAAACATTAAAGTTTTGTTCAATGATTCAAATAAAAAAAGTTTTTCTAATTATGTTACAGGTGTGGGAAGTTCCTAAGGACTGAAATGGAAGCACAAGCCCACGCAGCCAGAACACAACATTCCAGTTTTTCTGAGTCCACTGAAGTCATTAAACCATTAACAGCAGAGGAAAAGAAAGAACAACTTGATAAGTAAATAACTTTTAAAGTATTATATTTGTGTTATAACTTATAAAATATGAAGCAAAAATAAGGTATGTCACACATCCAAATTGCCAACACTGTAAAATCAGAAATATATGTGTCGTTTTTGGTGGAAGAAGACTTCAAGTCTTCTGAAAGCCTTTACTGCCGGCTTTAAAATCATTGAACCGTCACTAGGACGTATGCCGTATCCCTTTCTGTGCTTTACAATTTCATAACAACTTCCGTGCCATAACTTGACACCAATGTTTACACATGATCTAAGCATCTGCATCATTTAATTTATTAGTTAGGCTTGAAAACGATCACTATCGTTAGTGTTATAATTTCTCATGTTTTTATGTATTTATATCAACCCTTTTATTTATGTAAATTATTAGATTTCATCTCATCTTACATGAACGTTATTTATTTACTTGTAACCAGATGTCTTTAAAGTAGAGTTTGTAGTACGCATGCATGAATTTGGTATCTGGTCAGTTCGCCCTGATTACATGTTCGCCCTTGGTCCATTCGCCCTGAGTTCGTCCCCATAGAGTACGTTCACCCAGGGTTACTTCTCCTTACTTTTATCGTGGAAGTATTATATTGACTGCTTTTTTACATCCTTGCAATTATTATAAAATAATAATATTATGGGTATTAAAGTTTAATAAACTTATTCAGATATTTATATGGTATAAATTCTCGAAATTCATGAACACACATGAAAAAAAATTAATTAAAAGTTGATGGCTTGTTTTGGAGCATTAATAGGTCATGATAATAATTCTCACTGATTGTTGTAATAATTGTCTTTGGTAGATTAATAATTGGAATTATCGGAATAAAACAACTGGATTATTCGGGTTAATTTAAGGTAACACGATACCGAATGGCATATCTGCCGATTTCTAAACTTTTTGGCACACTTGTTCTTTGATTCGAGTTACATCGGAATATGAAATAAAAAATGGGGGTCACCATTCTTGTTTTTTTGTAATTTTGATTAGTAAATGTCAATTTTGGCGCCAAATTTACAGAGATATATAGGGAAAATGCCTTTTTTTCGACTTACTTTTCTAGATTTTCAACAGATGGCTATTTTCTCATATACGGAAAAAGACTAAAAACTAACATAATATTCAGGATTGTATACCAAATCCATACATGTATAAAAAAACATATGTCACCATCCTTGTTTTTTAGATAAATCGCTTCAAAGATGACCGATACGCTTAGTAATTGACAAAAATTTGTGACGTTACGGAATACAGAATAACGTTATTTTTATTCAGAGGGATTGAAAAAAAAAATATGTAATGGGATCTGAATGGTGTTTGTTATTTTATTTTCATTCCCCCTGTCGGAAATTTCCTAATAATTCAGTATAACATTCGACTGAGTTAATTTTATTTCGTCCTAACTGTGTGCACTTTTAGCTTTCAAAACTGAATCTTCAACTTAACCCTACCAAACTAGACAATGCTGATGACACCGATGTATCTATGCATGAATAAAATAAAGTGCTTCAAAAATTTGATTTGGTAAACAATGATGTCGAAGTACAATTTGAATTGATTGATTGATGGTTGCTTGACGTCCAGTGGCAAATATTTCATGGATTTTCAGGACGATACAATACAATTTGAAAAGTTATGTCTAAAAGACTCATTTGATGCAGCCGTCAAAAAAGGTTACACATTCAGTTAGTTGTGAATAATATAAAGAAAATCAACATCCTGATAAAATACGTATTCTATAAATATAGTATACTCTGTATGATGTAAACGTGTGGGTAACATCAAATCCCTCGACATTCTGTATCTATGCAAAGTTACTATGAATAATAATAATAAAAATAAAAGATTAATTTACTATTTATATTTCACCTAAGTGTGATTTTTTTTCTTTTATTTTTGTACTTTTATTTGAATCGTAATTATGCAAAGTTTTTTGTTTTGTGATTGAATATGATACGTATAGAAAGCGTATTTTTAATATATAATCATATATATTTGCAAATTTGAAATAAAGAAACATTTATCTTTCAACTATTTTATACCAGACTGAGGCAAATTGTTTGTTTGATTCGTTCTAAGTTTTATACGTTTGACGTCAATTTCAAAGATGTCGACAACAGCAGGAACGATAACTCGTGGCGTAACGTCATTCGGTATCGTGTTACCTTAAACCACGTTGGTTACGTATCTGCGCATGTGCACTAATGGGAAATTTAATTGTGCATCTGAAAGTTTCAAAATAATGATAAACAGAATTGTCATATATTCATACAATCCATCTTTAGTTAAAGTCAAGTATATACATGGAGAGTACGACTTCAAATCAATGATGCTTGAAAAAATACACAGATTTCGTTGTTCCTTCTATGTTCAGATCTTTAATGCAATCAATTAAGTCATATTCCAGTTTTAGACAACATGTGTTTTTTAAAATGAAAGTTAGAATATCTAAGTATGTTATTGCGATTATAAAGAGTCAAGCCCACACGTGAATCTGCTGGTGTTTTACACATCAAACGATGCACCATCTGTTGACAGAAATATCAATGTACAAACTAATGTCTGTTGACGGATTCCATTTCGAAAGTAGGTAGTTTTCATGTCGGTCATTGTCAGAATGTCCCCAATGATTGCCTTTATTGCCTTAATACGTTTCAAAGTTTTAGAAGTGATAAAAAATGGGATTTAACAACTGAATAGTCCAGCTCTTTACCTTTATTCGTCATTAAGGTACACACAAAAATGACACATTATCGAGGCTCGAGTACGGAACCAGTAATTCGTTGCTGTCAATAGTTTTATTTTCATGAAAAATTTCAGAAAAGGGCTGTGTGACTCCTGACGGAAAATGCCTTTCCTACCCTCATACTTTTGTGTAAAAATATTAGATGAAAAACAAATATGATATATGGGTCAAGCACTTTAAATGAAAGGGTTTGAAATGCTAAAAGAGTCAAGCGCACACGTGATTCTGTCAACTGACGGTGCATCGTTTGATGTGTAAAACACCAGCAGATTCATGTGTGCGCTTGACTCTAAATTATCTCAATAACATAGCAAGGTCATCACCTGACATGACTGGTCAATCCTTGGCCTGACACATATCTGCATTGGATATACTGTGGATTCATTATTTTTCGTTGGATACCAATTTTCGTGGAATTCGTGGGTACATGGAAACCACGAATTTAAATGTTCAACGAATTGCAAATTTGCTGTATGATTAAATGGAGAATTTTGGAAAACCACGAAATCAAATATCCACGAAAATGCAAGTTTTCCTCAATCCACGAAAATTGGTACCCACGAAAATAAATGAATCCACAGTATTTAGAATTTTCAATATATGTATATTTATATAAAACCCTAATTTAAGCAAACTTGACTAAAATCTTGGTGGCCAGTTTTTTTTTAAAAGTTAACTATCGGCCTTTGACAGAAAATTTCAAGTGAAACCAAATCAATTACTATTATAATTGCTTGGCGAAATTGCATTGCATCAAGTTGACCATGCTGAGACGAATGTATGGAATTTAGTTATAGAAAATTGAATTTGAATCAACAGTATTTGCAGATTTTTATGTTTAGTATAGTGAGTTTTGGTTGAGTTATGAGTATTATTATTTTTGGAAGAAAAAAATATGTCGAAAGCAATAATGGGACAAAGTAGGCTGGGTTGGTGTGGGCTGCTTTCATGGTAATTCAAGTTACCTTTTATGCATCTTCTTTCACCTCAGAGCAATCAGCTCTTTGATTATTAAATTGCGCAAATTGCAACAAGATATTTTTTGCAAAAAATAAAAATTTGGATTGTAATTTTTCGATGGCATTATTTTTTGCAACATTTCCTATAATCACAGTTAATTTAGCATTCTTGACTATTGTTGAATAATCACAATGATAAGTGCACACTCAACTTTCTGTATTTATAAGGGTGATGTTGTAACAAATTAGTCAACAAATAATAAAAAATAAAAGTGAATATATCAAATAATTTTTTTTCTCTGATAGCAGCTTCATTTGTTCATGTTGTTCACTGAAAAACTTTCTAAATTATTTAATTCACCATTTACATCAGGTACTGTAGATTCATTTATTTTTGCGGCTACCAATTTTCGTGGATTGAGGAAAAATTGTATTTTCATGGATATTTGATTTTGTGATTTTTCATACAAGCCTATAGAACATTTGTACTTCATTTAACATTTAGATATGTAGTTCACCTTTATCCCCAAAATTCCTGAAAATTGATATTCCACGAATAATAATGAGTCCACAATTCATGCACATGTGTAATAGTAAGAATAGCCTGGTACCACATTTGAAGGGTTTTACACCAGTTTAATTTAATCATTACACACTTAGCAGTAAATATAATATTGACATGACAGATTACAAGAAAAATTGAAACAGAAAAGATTAGAAAGGGAAGAACAAGAGAAAAAAGAACAGACTGCAAGAGAGAAACAAAGAAGAACACAAGGAAAAGAAATAGTATCAATAAAATCAAAGTAAGTACGTACTGATTTTTGTTTAGGGGCCATCTGAAGCCCGCCTCGGGGTGCGGGTTTTTCTTGCTGTGTTGAAGACCCATTTGGTGGCCTTCGGCTGTTTTCTGCTCTTTGGTCGGGTTGTTGTCTCTTTGACACATTCCCCATTTCCATTCTCAATTTGACTGATGATGATTAATTGCTGTTATAAACTTTACAATGCATTAATTTGTTTAAAAGTAGTGTTTACATCAATATTGAAAAAGGAAATGTGGTATGGTTGTCAATGAGACAACTACCAACCGGAGTTCAAATGATGTAGAAGTAATCAACTATAGCTAACCATACAACTGTTATTAATGAGCAAACCCATAACTTATAGTCAGTTATATAATGACAAACATGACAAAATGGGAAAAAAATCATACGAAAAAACCAACAGCCTGATTTGTGACAAAAGCAATAAATGAAAAGGAAATATGATAGACAGGAACAATGACAACACTGAATAACAGGCTCCTGACTTGGGACAACCACTGAATAACAGGCTCCTGACTTGGGACAACCACTGAATAACAGGCTCCTGACTTGGGACAACCACTGAATAACAGACTCCTGACTTGGGACAGCCACTGAATAACAGGCTCCTGACTTGGGACAACCACTGAATAACAGGCTTCTGACTTGGGACAACCACTGAATAACAGGCTCCTGACTTGGGACAGCCACTGAATAAAAGGCTTCAGACTTGGGACGGTCACTGAATAACAGGCTCCTGACTTGGGACAGCCACTGAATAACAGGCTCCTGACTTGGGACAACCACTGAATAACAGGCTTCTGACTTGGGACAACCACTGAATAACAGGCTCCTGACTTGGGACAGCCACTGAATAAAAGGCTTCAGACTTGGGACGGTCACTGAATAACAGGCTCCTGACTTGGGACAACCACTGAATAACAGGCTCCTGACTTGGGACAACCACTGAATAACAGGCTCCTGACTTGGGACAACCACTGAATAACAGGCTCCTGACTTGGGACAGCCACTGAATAACAGGCTCCTGACTTGGGACAGCCACTGAATAACAGGCTCCTGACTTGGGACAACCACTGAATAACAGGCTTCTGACTTGGGACAACCACTGAATAACAGGCTCCTGACTTGGGACAGCCACTGAATAAAAGGCTTCAGACTTGGGACGGTCACTGAATAACAGGCTCCTGACTTGGGACAGCCACTGAATAACAGGCTCCTGACTTGGGACAGCCACTGAATAACAGGCTCCTGACTTGGGACAACCACTGAATAACAGGCTCCTGACTTGGGACAACCACTGAATAACAGGCTCCTGACTTGGGACAACCACTGAATAACAGGCTCCTGACTTGGGACAACCACTGAATAACAGGCTCCTGACTTGGGACAGCCACTGAATAACAGGCTCCTGACTTGGGACAACCACTGAATAACAGGCTTCTGACTTGGGACAACCACTGAATAACAGGCTCCTGACTTGGGACAGCCACTGAATAAAAGGCTTCAGACTTGGGACGGTCACTGAATAACAGGCTCCTGACTTGGGACAGCCACTGAATAACAGGCTCCTGACTTGGGACAACCACTGAATAACAGGCTTCTGACTTGGGACAACCACTGAATAACAGGCTCCTGACTTGGGACAGCCACTGAATAAAAGGCTTCAGACTTGGGACGGTCACTGAATAACAGGCTCCTGACTTGGGACAACCACTGAATAACAGGCTCCTGACTTGGGACAACCACTGAATAACAGGCTCCTGACTTGGGACAACCACTGAATAACAGGCTCCTGACTTGGGACAGCCACTGAATAACAGGCTCCTGACTTGGGACAGCCACTGAATAACAGGCTCCTGACTTGGGACAACCACTGAATAACAGGCTTCTGACTTGGGACAACCACTGAATAACAGGCTCCTGACTTGGGACAGCCACTGAATAAAAGGCTTCAGACTTGGGACGGTCACTGAATAACAGGCTCCTGACTTGGGACAACCACTGAATAACAGGCTCCTGACTTGGGACAACCACTGAATAACAGGCTCCTGACTTGGGACAACCACTGAATAAAAGGCTTCAGACTTGGGACAGCCACTGAATAACAGGCTCCTGACTTTGGGACAACCACTGAATAACAGGCTCCTGACTTGGGACAACCACTGAATAACAGGCTCCTGACTTGGGACAACCACTGAATAACAGTCTCCTGACTTGGGACAACCACTGAATAAAAGGCTTCAGACTTGGGACAGCCACTGAATAACAGGCTCCTGACTTGGGACAACCACTGAATAACAGGCTCCTGACTTGGGACAGCCACTGAATAACAGGCTCCTGACTTGGGACAGCCACTGAATAACAGGCTCCTGACTTGGGACAACCACTGAATAACAGGCTCCTGACTTGGGACAACCACTGAATAACAGGCTCCTGACTTGGGACAACCACTGAATAACAGGCTCCTGACTTGGGACAACCACTGAATAACAGGCTCCTGACTTGGGACAACCACTGAATAACAGGCTCCTGACTTGGGACAACCACTGAATAACAGACTCCTGACTTGGGACAGGCACATATAGAATAAGTTTAGTATTCATGTACAGTAAAACGTTTCTAAACTCAACCCCAGTGTCAATATAGATTTTTTTGAGTTTTTGGTTAACAAAGTTCAAATTACTACAGAATTTCACCTGTAAATCCTCATACAAGGAAATAAAAAATAAGTTATATAAAAACACACAATTAACCAGGTGATGATTCTTAGCCTGACCAGTTGTAGTCCTCCACAGACTTTCACGGAGGCAAAACAGTGGATTAATAGTGACGCAAAATTTATATAGTGTCTGAAAGTTATCCATTCTGGATAATTAACTGTACTGGATTATTAAATTATCCATTCAGTTAAATATCTAGTAGAATTTTTATTAGTGACAGTAAACCACAGATTTTAATCCTCTCCCATTTCATTTAGTGAAGTCTTGTAAAAATCGTGACCCGTAAACATATTTCCTAGCAAAATCATAATCTATTCATATTTTTTCTCAGTTATCATATATTTACAATTTTTTCATCTTAATTTGAATTATAATGATAAAACAGCATTTATACACAAACTAATCGAAAGATGAAAATAACTGACCCATTGACATTTTACCTTGGTGAAATTGCAATCCTTTGATATATTTGACGTACCAAAAAAGGGCCCCTTTCCAGCAGCACATTTGTATATACCTTCATATAGGGAAGAGAACCCCCCACCCCATGAATTTGGACACATTTAATTACAGTTTACAGAGGGTTCTGGTATGGTAAACAATAGGTAACAAAGAAAGAAAAATAATCCAGAGTATTTTTGCATCTCATTATTCCAAACTGTTAACACTTTTGTTTCCATTTAGAATAGAAGAAGATGAAATTAAGAAGATAGCTGAACAAAGAAGAAGAGAAAAAATGGACGATAAATTAGCAAGGTAAAATCAGCTTGTGTAATTTTCCATAATAATAAAAACCTGCTTGAGCGATATTTAGTACAAACGATGCTTCAATTTATGTTTATCACACATGTCATCATCTACGCCCTTAAGATTAGTGCATTTGATTCTAAGATTTTGGGTATATATATACACGGGATAAAAGTCTAATGAATTCATAAGAAATTGAACACATATTACTGTTTCTGCTGTTCCTTGTCTTGAAGCTTCTGAGAGGTCTTCAACAATGAAGTCAATAAAATATCGTACAGTGAGCAATCTCAAGATGACTGACAGCACAAAATAGTTTTACAGTGCATTTTAGTAACACGCAAAGTCAATATCGATTTGTGTCAATGATCTTTAAAATCTCATATCTAAAGTTCAGATAGCGCAAAAATCCAGTTTTAATTGTTGTAATACCTTGTATAAAAAACATCAACACTCCAAAAGAAGTAAATTTTCTCATGGAACATTTATTCCAATTATTTACTAGTATTTCAAATATGAGAGCATGCAGAAATAATGGTTTGCCGCCATTATTAACGATAATACAATTCTTAAAAGTATATATGGTTATTTAAACAAACAAAATTACGCTAGAAGGAAAGTATTCTGATTTTAACCGAGACTTTAAAACAACAACAAAAACCCATGAAATACTGATTATTACGAGGACAAAGTATGACAATATAATAGTATAATTTAAGGAAAGGAGGTACGGCCAGTTTTCCAAATTACACACTGATGGCCTTTTCTTTAAAAGGTCTTTACATCTATACAATAGTCATCACGGCTATACTTTGAGGTTTCTACAACATTATGTGGTATTTTTGAACATTTACTAACCAGATTATATATAATTGCTTTACAATTGTAATATCGGTATATGTTGGAAAGTTTAAAGATGAATAAAAAGGTCGCAAAAACCAAAACCAAAGTCATGGGGGTAGTAAAGGTAACATGTCCTGTCTTCCAGATATAAATTCAATCATTTTTGCTAGATAAAAAATTAAGAAATATACAAAATTATTGTAAAGTTTTCTTCAATTGTAATCTTCCACCCGAATAACAGTTTGATTTCACGAATAGATGTGAAATTCTTAAAAGAGGCTGTTTTGGGGTATGTGAATGAAACAGCAGCCCACCAACCAAAACCAAAAAAAACATCTAGAGGTCAACATATGGTCTTAAACAATACATGAGTGTGAACACAGTACCGGCATGTCTAGCTCTAAATTGCCGTGAGTCTTTAAATTAAGCTGCAAAGAAATTCAACAGTCCTCATAACTATACCTGAAATGTTCTCACTTAAAACATGAACTGAATAAGAAGAGAGAGGTATTTATAAAACACATGTTTTTATTTCCAAAAACAATATTATTATTTTAGTCAATTTAATGTAGCTCTTTATAAGCAATATATAAACACTGGAAAAATATCGCTGATAACCTTGCAGGGTTAATTGGCAAGAGACGTTCAATTTGTCAGCCAGTGACGTCGTGCATTTTCGCGCTAACGTTGAGGTTACCAAGGGGGATGCAATTTTTAGGATTAGTCGTTATTTATCTTCGAATCCAGCATGATGACATATCATTTTTATACGACCGCAAAAATTAAAAATTTTTTGGTCGTATATTGGTATGACGTTGGCGTCGTCGTCGTCGTCGTCGTCGTCGTCGTCGTCGTCGTCGTCTGGCGTCGTCCGGCGTCGTCCGAAGACACATTGGTTTTCGCACTCTAACTTTAGTTTAAGTAAATGGATCTCCTTGAAATTTTACCATCAGGTTCTATACCACGAAAGGAAGGTTGGGATTGATTTTGGGGGTTATGGTACAAACAGTTAAGGAATTAGGGGCCAAAAAGGGGCCAAAAATAAGCATTTTTGTAACTTCCAGACAATAACTTGTGTGTAAGTGTATGGATCTCTCTGACATTGTACCACAAGGTTCCATATCACAAAGGGAAGGCTGTAATTGATTTTGGGGGTAATTGCCTCAAAATTTTAGGAATTAGGGGCCAAAAAAGGGGCAAAAAACAAGCATTTTTCTAGTTTCATGACAATAACTTGTGTGTAAGTGTTTGGATATTTCTGAAATTGTACTACAAGGTTCCATATCACAAAGGGAAAGCTGGAATTGAGTTTTGGGGTAATTGCCCGAAACGTTTAGGAATTGGGGGCCAAAAAGGGGCCAAAAATAAGCATTTTTCTAGTTTCCAGACAATAACTTGTGTTCAAGTGTATGGATCTCTCTGAAATTGTACTGCAAGGTACCATACCACAAAGGGAAGGCTGGGATTGAGTTTGGGGGTGATGAATCATAAGGGGGTTCAAAAAATTTGGGGGGGGGGATTTTTTTTCTTCTTTTTTTCCTTTTTTTTTTCTTTTAAAATTTTCCATGTTAAGTTGGTTATTTCTGATTTATATTTAAAAGCAAATAATAATGATATGGTAGGAGATACACACCAAACAGGATGTGTAAATTATTATATAATAAGTATTGTGCAATAGCAAGAAATTTTCAATTGCACAGTATTGCACAATAGCAAGAAATCTTCAATTACACAGTATTGCGCAATAGCAAGAAATCTTCAATTGCACAGTATTGCGCAATAGCAAGAAATATCCAATAGCACAATATTGCGCAATAGCAAGAAATTGTCAATTGTACAGTATTGCGCAATAGCAAGAAATATTCAATTGCACAGTATTGTGCAAAAGAAGATACTTTGTATAAATTGCTTATTTCTTGATCAATTTCAAAGGGGTTTTATTCTTGAATTCTTGGGGTTCTTTAATATGCTGAATCTAACTGTGTATTAAGTTTTTGGATTTTGGGCCCCGTTTTTAAATTGGTCCACATTGAGGTCCAAAGGGTCCAAAATTTAACTTTGTTTGATTTCATCAAAAATTGAATTATTGGGGTTCTTTGATATGCCAAATCTAATCGTGTATTTAGATTTTTAATTTTGGGTCCCGTTTTTTAAATTGGTCTACATTAAGGTCCAAAGGGTCCAAAATTAAACTTAGTTTGATTTTAACAAAAATTGAATTTTTGGGGTTCTTTGATATGCTGAATCTAAACATGTGTTTAAATTTTGATTATGGGCCCAGTTTTCAAGTTGGTCCAAGTTGGGGTCCAAAATTAAACTTTGTTTGATTTCAACAGAAATTAAATATATGGGGTACTTTGATATGCTGAATCTAAACATGTATTTAGATTTTAGATTTTTGGCCCAGTTTTCAAGTTGGTCCAAATTGGGGTCCAAAATTAAACTTTGTTTGATTTCAACAAAAATTGAATATATGGGGTTCTTTGATATGCTGAATCTTACCATGTATTTAGATTTTTTATTTGTGGGCCCGCTATCAAATTGGTTCATATTGAGGTCAAAAGGGTCCAAAATTAAACTTTTTTGTTTGATTTCATCAAAAATTGAATTATTGGGGTTCTTTGATATGCCAAATCTAACCGTGTATTTAGATTTTTAATTTTGGGTCCCGTTTTTTAAATTGGTCTACATTAAGGTCCAAAGGGTCCAAAATTAAACTTAGTTTGATTTTAACAAAAATTGAATTCTTGGGGTTCTTTGATATGCTGATTATGGGCCCAGTTTTCAAGTTGGTCCAAGTTGGGGTCCAAAATAAAACTTTGTTTGATTTCAACAAAAATTGAATATATGGGGTTCTTTGATATGCTGAATCTAATCATGTATTTAGATTATAGATTTTTGGCCCACTTTACAAGTTGGTCCAAATTGGGGTCCAAAATTAAACTTTGTTTGATTTCAACAAAAATTGAATATATGGGGTTCTTTGATATGCTGAATCTTACCATGTATTTAGATTTTTTATTTGTGGGCCCACTATCAAATTGGTTCATATTGAGGTCAAAAGGGTCAAAAATTAAACTTTGTTTGATTTCATCAAAAATTGAATTATTGGGGTTCTTTGATATGCCAAATCTAACCGTGTATTTAGATTTTTAATTTTGGGTCCCGTTTTTTGAATTGGTCTACATTAAGGTCCAAAGGGTCCAAAATTAAACTTAGTTTGATTTTAACAAAAATTGAATTTTTGGGGTTCTTTGATATGCTGAATCTAAACATGTGTTTAGATTTTTGATTATGGGCCCAGTTTTCAAGTTGGTCCAAGTTGGGGTCCAAAATTAAACTAAGTTTGATTTTAACAAAAATTGGATATATGGGGTTCTTTGATATGCTGAATCTAAACATGTATTTAGATTTTAGATTTTTGGCCAAGTTTTCAAGTTGGTTCAAATTGGGGTCCAAAATTAAACTTTGTTTGATTTCAACAAAAATTGAATATATGGAGTTCTTTGATATGCTGAATCTTACCATGTATTTAGATTTTTTATTTGTGGGCCCGCTATCAAATTGGTTCATATTGAGGTCAAAAGGGTCCAAAATTAAACTTTGTTTGATTTCATCAAAAATTGAATTATTGGGGTTCTTTGATATGCCAAATCTAACCGTGTTTTTAGATTTTTAATTTTGGGTCCCGTTTTTTTTAATTGGTCTACATTAAGGTCCAAAGGGTCCAAAATTAAACTTGGTTTGTTTTTAACAAAAAATGAATTCTTGGGGTACTTTGATATGCTGAATCTAAACATGTGTTTAGATTTTTGATTATGGGACCAGTTTTCAAGTTTGTCCAAGTTGGGGTCCAAAATTAAACATTGTTTGATTTCAACAAAAATTGAATATATGGGGTTCTTTGATATGCTGAATCTAACCATGTATTTTGATTTTGGACATTGGACCATAATAGGTAAATTAAAAAAATTGAAGTTCTTAGACCACATTCTTCCTGTGTCAGAAACCTATGCTGTGTCAAATATTTAATCACAATCCAAATTCAGAGCTGTATCAAGCTTGAATGTTGTGTCCATACTTGCCCCAACTGTTCAGGGTTCGACCTCTGCGGTCGTATCAAGCTGCGTCCAGCGAAGCATTTTATTATTTGTTATTTGGAGAAAGCATGACAAAAGGCAGTTAATGTAGAAAAATGAGAGAAATGACATAAGAACCTCTTGATTTTCACATTTTAAGGTAAAAAAAATATCCCACTTTGAGCATCTTATCCATAATGTTAAGCATGGCTTGAATAATTAACTAGTTATTCTTGTATTGATTTATTTTTCCCTTATTTTCACTTATCACATCTTCAAAATGAATCCAATCTTATTAGTTTATGAAGAAGAATATCTACTCCAAATTTTTTTTAACAAAAGTGCAAAAATCCTCAATTTTCAGCCTCAATTTTCTAAAAAAAAAACAAGCATGGTGACCTATGTTTTATTAGGTAATTTTTTTTATAACTCGCCCAGGCCTTCAGCATATTTCAAAATTATGATAATGACAATATAAAGTGAAACTGTATCAGATGCCCTTCAACTATTTATATTAGGGATGTCAACGAGTACTCGAGTATTCGAGTATCGCTCGGTAGTACCGAGTATCAAATACTACCAAGATACTCGACTAATCGTTTTTTTATTAAATATTGTTGTCTTCGTTATATAAAATTGATCTTCTTGAGAACCTCTTTCGGAAAATTAAATAGGCATCTCTGATTAATCATACTAGTAAATAAAATACATTTTATTTCGAATGCTTATGCTAAATTGTCATTTTTTAAATGCGTCCTAAAATACGTGAGCCATACCTAAGCTAACACTTTAAACTAAACATGTCTTAGCCATTCCGTCACATCGGTACCTTCAGAGGAAATATTTTTGTCTGCAAGACTGCAATTTACAAAGTTGCAAAACAGACTGTTTCCAATAATAGTTGAAAAGAAAATGTTTACTAATAAAATAAATTCGTTGTACTCTGGTGACCGTCAGTGAATAGTTATCTTAAACTTCTAATCCATACGCCTTTGTAAACATTAAATGTGTTTTCTTAACGATTACCAAATACTAATGTTTGATTTGGTTTTTCCTTGTTATAATTTTTAAATAGATGTTCATTAAATTATATTGATTAGATTATTGTTTTTTTCCCCCTAATTAGTACTTGTAGGTAATGAGCTATTAATTATGGTGTGTAATTCTTTGTCCCAGATACTTATGTAAAAGATACTTATGTAGCTGGTTTTCCGCCAATGAACAACAAACCAAAGAATGTAAAATACATATTTTTGTGTTTCCGAGTTGTAGATATATTCCCGAGCGAGAACTGGAGTATCGCTCGATAAAGCCAACGAGTACTCGATTAGTAATTGTTTACCCAGTTGACATCCCTAATTTTTATACATCTTTTAGCAATGTCATCGAGCATTGATGCTTAATTCAGAAGTATGCAGTAAAGCATTTTTTTTCATTTTACTCTTGCTACCGGTAACTATTTTTTGGTAGCTGTACCATACTATTGACAACTTAAATACACTGATATTAGTACAGCATTTATGACATGTAGTCCGTAAACTTCTAAAACAGCATAAAATAACATCTGCAACAGCATAAAATAACATCTGTAACAGCATAAAATAACTTCTGAAACAGCATAAAATAACATCAAATAACTTCTGAAACAGCATAAAATAACATCAAATAACTTCTGAAACAGCATAAAATAACTTCTGAAACAGCATAAAATAACATCTGAAACAGCATAAAATAACTTCTGAAAAAGCTTGAAATAACTTTGTTTCGTGGGAAGTTCTGCTTATGGATATAACATGTGATTTAATGATATGAATTCTTTGTTTTAAATGAGTAATGAAATGGTAGTTTTTATAAATTTAGTGTAACCAGAACAGAGAGTGTGAAAGGACATCAGAACCCTTGATGGTTTTGTCAAATCCCTATTTGAAGTAACAGTTTTTGTTTGGCAGAAATAAAATGTTTTTCAACTTGAAGATGTTATATTTGACTGTTTTATCAACATAAATTGACAATTGAAGGCATCATTTGAAAAAAAAATTCCCAATTCTATTTCAGACAAAGAGTAAAAGATCAGATAGAAAAAGATAAAAGAGATAGAGCAGCTAAGGTTTGTATAAAGATGTGATAAAGATTATAAAAAAGAGTTTTTATTGATGATCATCTGAAAGTTGTATCAGAGGTCTTCAATGATTATTTTGATATTTATATCTGATCAAAATTATGGAAATTTTGTGTGTGCTTGCTTGTGAGGTCTAAACATTTAAAAAAAATAGTCAAATTTGAGTGATTAAAATAATACTTAGAAATATTCTTAACAAAGTATGTAAAGAGAAATTAATTTTAAAAATATTTCATGAAAAATGTGAAAGAAATGATAATAACATACTTAATCTATTTGAGTTTTAAAACATGCTCTGGGCTTGGCAAATGATTAAAGATTGTGTCACTGTTAAACTTGTTATATAAATATAAGAAGATATGGTATGATTGTTAAAGAGACAACTCTCCACCAGTACCAAATGACATAGAAGTTAACAACCAAAGTGCTGTACGGCCTTCAACAATGAGCAACTATGTTTTGTTTCATGCTTAAAACCAGTTGAATAAGCCATTTTAACAAATACTAGTGTTTTTATACTACAAAGTTATATGTAATGAAAATGTATTTTGTATTTTATGTTTAAAGTGCATTGTTATGCAAATTTTCAGTAAGTTGACACTGTACTTCTTTTTTTCAGTTTGCCAAAGATAAAGAAACACAAAAACCCAATACAGCACCATCCCCTTCTGCTGCACCTGTAGCGACACCTGCTGTTAAAAAGGAATATACAGACTGTCGATTACAGGTAAATAAAAAGTAGGAGATTGCTATGACCTTTTGTAGGAATAGACTCGAATCACTAGAGCACAGTTCATAAAGAAAGCATGGAAATTGCCTGTTCACTAGTACTGTAAATTCAGAAATTATTGTGAGGTTTTAATTAATGCCAATAATACGACTGGTTGAGTATCACAATGATAAGAACTCACCTTCTGATATCTGATTCATATATCTGTATGAAGATTTTCCTGAAATTGCAATAATTAATCTCGAATTTTTGTCCGTTCTTTAAAAATCGCAATATCAAATGCACATGACAATTTCTGAATTTACAGTATATGGATGACGTTCTGATGTCCAATGGTCCCAGCAAGTCCTATTAAAGACTTCAAAGGCCTGTGACTCTTTTCACAAAAAATCTTACGATTAAAATTGATCGTAAGTTATACTGAAATGTTTATGACTTACAAGTATTTTTACCCTTAAGGTTTTTTTTGCAGACCCCTCACTCAATCTAAGATTAGTAAAAACAGTATTTAAGAAAAAATAAAGGGATTTATTCACATATTTGTCTCTATTCCTACTGTTCAAAAATAGACTATTCTGCATTTTATTTTGCATGATACTCCAGGTGAACAGTTCTATCCTTTTCAAATATTTAATGCCCTACCACATTTCTCAAAAATATAAGAAACACTACAGACTACGAATGCAAGTAAACATATCTAGTGATGCTATATATGTGTGGTCCTTTATCTATTGCTGTTACTGAAAAACATAAGTCATATTAGATGTGAGTCTAATAGTGAATTCAGTTTGCATCAAACTCTTGCTGTCAACTTAATTTAATTTTACGTTATTTAAGATATTTATTAAATTTACGTTATTTAAGATATTTATTAAATTTACGTTATTTAAGATATTTATTAAATTTACGTTATTTAAGATATTTATTAAATTTACGTTATTTAAGATATTTATTAAATTTACGTTATTTAAGATATTTATTAAATTGACGTTATTTAAGATATTTATTAAATTGACGTTATTTAAGATATTTATATGAAGAAAAAAACATTTATGTAATACCTAATATTACATAAAGTATCAATTTACACATTAATTTTCTATTACAACAAATTTTAAAATACCATTGCAAGTTCTGACATTGTCTGAGTATTGATAAGTGGTGTAATTGTATCATTTGTTCCCAAAGTATTAAAGCTTGGATTGAAAGTTGTCTCATTGTCAATATTTCCACATCTCTTTATTTTTATATTGTTGAACACAAATGTGTGATTAATTATTGCAACTTCAGATAATGCTGACAAAATTTAAAATGAGAATTTTTATTTTTGCAAAACATATCCTATTGACATTTTCGCAATGATATAAACTACATTGCAATAATTTCTGAATTTAAAATACTTATTTATTATTGCGATTTTTTAAGATTAAACAAAAATGCGAGATTAATTATTTCGATTTCAGGAAAATCTGCATGCAGATATATGTATTGAATTCAGAATTCGAGTTCTTATTATTGCGATACTCACCCAGTCGCATTTTTCCCATTAATGAAAACCTCACAATGAGTTCTGAATTTACAATATTCTAACACATAATGAACATGTATGAAAATTTGTCCTCACATTTACCTTAGGAACTGCAAATCAAAGCTTTCTGAAATTTCTTCATGAAACTGAAAGCTTCATGTTTGCCTGCTATACTGATTGATGTGTTTTCATATCCATCACTCGTCAACTTCCTGTTTACCGAATAGCCTCAGTATCATTAGTGAGCAATAGCTCACAGTAAAACTTATGGTTTAATGGGATTCTCATTCTGATAAATAAAAAATGTCCGTTTTTGGTGTTGAGCAAACAACACTAAGTCAACCAATCAATTCTAAGAGTTATATTAGGATTGTTTCTTCTATTACAGATTAGGTTCCCTTCAGGACAACCCCTAACACAAACATTTTCAGCCAAGGAACCATTAGCAGCAGTGAGATTATATATAGAAATGAACAGAACTGACCCACCAGGACCATTCTCTTTGATGACAAACTTTCCTAAAAAAGTGTTTCAGCGTGAAGATTATGAAAAACCATTAGATCAATTAGGTAAGTAAGATTCCAAGGATCATTTTAGGGGTGAGGTTAAGAGCTGGGTAATGGGAGATAACTCATTATTGTTTTTTCTAGTCGGTTGCATCAGTTCTTTTGTAGCATTCATGTGAAACAAAAATTGAAATTATATGTGTTACGAACAAGCTAAGAACGTATTTGTGAAAAAGCCTGACACAAACATACCTGCAATTTTAAAGAGTAGTGCTCCTTCGCTTAGGTCTACCTCATCGAACAAAGGTGTTCTGATGTCAATTTTGACTTTGCTTCCATACTTTTGCATAGGTTTTAACAGTCAAGGGCATCTTTGAAAACAGATATTTTTGAAAAAAATCTTAAAATGGTTATTTGTTTTTTCAAATAACTGGGAAAAGTTTTAATGAAATGTTACGAAGAAAATCTTGAGAATAAATAGTTATAGATATTTTTAAAATTCTTGGTAAGTTTGACATCAGAAAGCAATTTAATATTTATTTCTTTTAATTAGTACCTGGTCTGTAGACATATATCATTTGATAGATCTTTTCGAGTTCTTCAAGATAGTGATGAAATTAAGTGATCTTAATATTGAAGTATAATTTTTAATATCCCAAGGATTTGTTATTAGAGACTGCACATTCTTAACCTATTTAGTGAATTGAAAATTATTGGTAATTTAAAGAGATGAAATGTCAGGTCACTGGGGAAAATTCTTGGTTAATTGAGGAAAAGGCATGTCTTTTTATGTTGTAATGTTACACTAATGTCTCGGGTTAGGGTGAAGATTGGTGCCTGTTAAAACTTTTAAACCTGCTGGATTTTTATGCACCTGTCCTAAGTCAGGAGTCTGTTGTTCATTGGTTGTCTTTGTTGGTGTGGTTCATAGGTGTTTCTCATTTCTCTTTTTTGATATAGATTATACTGTTGGTTTTCCTGTTTGAATTGTTTTACACTAGTCATTTTGGGGCCCTTTATAGCTTCATGTTCGATGTGAGCCAAGGCTTGGTGTTGAAGGTCGTACTTTGACCTGTTAATTTTTTATATATTGTGACTTGAATGGAGAGTTGTCTCATTGGCACTCATACCACATCTTCTTATTTATACCCTTCAAATACAGATTGAAAAACGTTTTCTGTAAATATAGACCAGCGTTTTATCACACCATTTGTAAATCGTTTTCAAGTCAAATTGGACGAGTTTATTGTCAGTTAGTGATTGAGTTCGTCTGTTGAGCGTCATTTTCAAATGCAGCAAGATAGGGCAAGTGTCAAATAATCAAAATCATTTATTTCTTATTTATATATAATTACATTACCGGGTACATGTATGTTTCAGGAGAATCCGTTAGTTTGATTGGCTAACAACAATCGCTTGTCATTCAAAAATTAACCTTCATATCAAAATGAATGTTACATTCGTGATGACATGTGCTTCCACAAAAAAGGTGCACAGGTAAATAAAAGAAAACTTGATAAAAAAATTTTTCATGGTCTTATTAGCATAAAAATGTAATTATAAGAAATGAATGCTTCTTTTTTGGGTGTAAAAGTGTAGACATAAGCACATTTTGTATGAAGCGCTTCTGCGCTTCATTCTAAAAATGTGAGCACGATCAACACTTTTACACCCCAATAAAATTACAAGAAGAATCATTTATTTCTTAAGTAAGTTTTGGATTTATGGTCATCAGAGAAAGAATTGGCCAGTAACTTCACTATTCAGATCATTTTGTAGAATTAAGCAACATTGAACATTCGACAAAAAGTCACACATCCTTCAATATGCAAATGAAGGTTAATGGGATTCAAATGAATTTAAGTGTTACCTGAAGAGGTGTCGCAGATAAATAAATGTAGAATTTGAGATTTGGTGAGAAAATAAATGAAAGACAGAATAGTCCACAAATCTAAAAGAATTATAATGCCATGAAGAGCATTAAAAGAAAATACTGTGGTTTTTATACTTTGAAATTATATGTGACACTACTTTATTGATCATGTGATTTTCTATTGTAGATTTGGTCCCTTCTGCTGTACTAATTGTAACCAAAGCTGTGTGATGCCAACTTATAGTGACAACAGACATTTTATGTTATTTATGTTAAGCTCTGAATAAATGTTTTACTATGTAAAGAAAATGCTTAAATAATTCCATTGTAGAACACTTGTATGATATGATGATGGTATGATTGATGCTAAAGTTTTCTAAAGAATAAGACTGTTTGACATGAACTATTCCTTATAACCCTTGCACTGGTTCTCCTCATTTAGATTTGCTTTTAATGGGGAGGTTAGAATCTCACTTATTTGTTCGATAGAATGATGTAAAATCTCAAATAATTAGTAATTGGTTGTATATTTAAGCTATAATTGTTAGTTTTCCATATAATTAAGAAATGATATACGATAGCATGTACGGTAGTTTATTGGAGATTTTATCATGAGTAAAGCCAGATCTTATTCAATCTTTACCTTGAGGGATTCAACATAGTTCTAGGGTTACAAATAATGACCTGAATTTGTGTACCTTTGGATGCAGCCATTTACAAATATCTGATGTTTTTGTGCACAAATGTCAGTTTCTGTCAGTCATAGTTTATTTCAGTTTTCATCATGGACAATGATGGAACATGCCACAAAGTAAGAATAGGACGTATTATTCATTCCATGTCTTTACATATGTATACTTGTCTTCCCTCGGTCTGTATCAGTCTGCTCAGCTCTTCATAATCATATTACGGATTTATGATGTCAAATATGTTGACCAGACGTTAATAACATTGATCCAGATTTATCACTGACGTCAATATGTTTGAACTAGCATTGATAAGTTCAACCCTGTAAAATATTAGCTCCTTGACTCATTATGAAGCATTTTTTAACTCATTCACTGCAGTCACTCTACAATTAGCTTCATATTGTGACTCTCGGCTGATAATTTACAGTAATAATATGCAGAAAACCTGATAATATATATATATATATATATATATATACAAGTCTAAATTGAAAACAACGTTCAAACCTATGATTGCGTTGGATAAAAACTGCAATTTTTATACGTGTTCATGCAAAACAAATTTCTTGGTAGAGGGGTCTAAATACAGCACAAACAACATTTTCCAAAAGACCAAAAAAGTGAAAAAGTATATTTTAACAAAACGCATTTGACTAGCAGGTCGAACAACTGATGTTCTTAAACCCTGCTGACTGCCATTGGCGATTGCCAAATAAAGGAATCACAAGATGTAACAAAATGGATCTTTATTATTAATTCAATACCAATCAGAAAACAATAAACTTTCGGAAAAGATGGTATACCGCATACATGAGGTGCAAAAATTTGTACACTATATCCGGATTTCGACAATTAATATCTCTTCAGTGATGTTAGGAATCGAAACGGTATTTGGAAGTCCATATAATTTACCTCAATTTAGGATAGACTCTTGAATTTTGAAGAGTCGAAATAGGATGAACGGATCATATAAACCCGAAGGCAAATATAATACAAGCCCAAACAAAAAATTATAAATAAGTCTTAATTGAAAACAACGTTCAAACCTATGATTGCGTTGGATAAAAACGGCCATTTTTATACGTGTGCATGCAAAACAAATTTCTTGGTAGAGGGGTCTTCATACAGCACAAACAAGATTTTCCAAAAGACCAAAAAAGTGAAAAAGTATATTTTAACAAATCGCATTTGACTAACAGGTCGAACAACGGATGTTCTTAAATCCTGCTGACTGCCTTTGGCGATTGCCAAATAAAGGAATCACAAGATGTAACAAAATGGATCTTTATTATTAATTTAATACCAATCAGAAAACAATAAACTTGGGGAAAAGATGGTATACCGCAAACATAAGATGCAAAAGTTTGTACACCATATCCGTATTTCGACAATTAATGTCTCTTCACTGATGTTAGGAATCGAAACGGTATTTGGAAGGCCATATAATTTACCTCAATTTAGGATAGACTCTTGAATTTTGAAGAGTCGAAATAGGATGAACGGATCATATAAACCCGAAGGCAAATATAATACAAGCCCAAACGAAAAATTATAAATAAGTCTAAATTTAAAACAACGTTCAAACCTATGATTGCGTTGGATAAAAACATATATATAAAGTGCCTAGAAAATCAACCTAACAATGTTAGAGTAGATCTGATTCTTTATTTCCTCCCCAACTGGGGCTGGAACCTGTACTTTGACTTCTCACTTCTACGGCAACACCGCCTTGCATTGTGCAGACGCCTTATCCCCTCCTCTAACTATAGCTGATAAAAATCAGCTTCTGTTTTAAGAGATGTTACTTTCTTGTAGGTATAAACAAGGACGACTAATCACAATACACAATGTACTTTTTAAGCATACAGGAATGATCATCTACTCATCTCTTTAGTATAAGGGGCCTCGGTGGCCGAGTGGTCTTAGTAGTCGAACTACTGTATCACTAGCCTGTCAACACTGAGGTTGTGAGTACGAATCCCGCACGGGGCAGGTGCATTGGACTCCAATCTTAATTGACTAGGATTGTCAGTTTTCATACGGAAGGTCGGTGGTTCTCTCTGGGCACTCCGGCTTCCTCCACCAGTAAAAACTGACTGCCACAAAATAGCACAATAGTGTTGAAAGTGGCGTTAAACACCAATAAACTAATCAATCAATCTTTAGTATGATTGCAGGATACTATTCTGTTTTTAGAAGCATACAATCACTATGAATTAATATTTAAATATGTCTTAGACCGTTGGTTTTCCCGTTTGAATGGTTTTACACTAGTAATTTTTGGGGCCCTTTATAGCTTGCTGTTCGGTGTGAGTTAAGGCTCCATGTTGAAGACCGTACTTTGACCTATAATAGTTTACTTTTACAAATTTTGACTTGGATGGAGAGTTGTCTCATTGGCACTCATACCACATCTTATATCTACTGCCTATGTGTAGTGACAAGGACGTATAACTAACATTTATACTGCACTCGTTCTATTTGAGCAGTCAAAATGCGTTGACTGTATATTTCTATGTCGTATACAGTCACTGACCCGATATGACTTTTCCTCATGAATATTTAAATAGAAGTTGCCGAAACTATATTTAATTCTTCGACCTGTTCTTGTTTCCAATGTATACAACGAAGCTTGGAACAACTCAAACTTATTACTTTACAATTTTTGGATAAACATATTTCACTTGTTAATTGTTTTTTTAACCTATAAATCATTATGTTTTATGCTTATTGTTGATATTTTAGTCCATACTCAAACAAATTCGTTCACCATCGATTGCGGGTTTCAACAGGGTTGCGTTCAATATCGTAGCGGCTACGTAGTGCTACGTAGATTTTTGTCTACTGAATGAGTAGCTAGCCTAGCTGCTATCAATATCAATGTAGCAGGTAGGCTAGCTACACGTTCAATAGTCATAAATCTACGTAGCCCTATGTAGCCGCTACGATATTGAACGCAACCCTGGACTGGTAATGTACATTTCATTGTGTTGTATATTTCTCCGCCTGATATGAGGCCTTTTTAAAAGGGGGATTTTTCCAAATTTTCAAATCAAATAAATAACATTAACACATTAAACAACAATTGAAAATGTGTTTTTCTAGATTGCAGTATAAAGACAATAATAGTGCACTGACTTGACATATCAACGATAAAAGGATTCGGCCCGAAACGGGGAAAAAGCTCGGCAGAGCCTCGCATTTCCCCGTTTCTAAGCCTCATCCTTATATCGTTGATATGTCAAGTCAATGCACTATTATTGTCTATATATACGTCCTTGGTAGTGATAACTGCAAATTATACCTTCTCCATTTGATTAAGAAATACAAGACGTTAGAATCATTTTATAGTGTCTAGAAAATCAACCTATCAATTTTAGAGTAGATCTGATTCTTTACTTCCTGGGGCTGGAACCTGTACTCTACGTATACTGTAAATTCATAAATATTGCAATTTTTGAAGATTGAACAAGTTTAATTATTGCGATTTTATGAAAAGCTACATACAGATATAAATTATGTATTTGATATCAGAATGAGAGTTTTTATTATTGTGATACTCAAGAAGTCGCAATGTTCACAGTAATAAAAACCTCCCAATAATTTCTGAATTTACAGTATATTATATGTTATTCAAGTTTGAGACAGGGTATATAATGTGACATTCCTGGCTTGGGGTTTATATTCCTTGAGTAGAAGGCATAACAAAAGTCTCCTATAGTTTAAGATTTAAACCTATTCGTAGGAACTATTTTGTTTTAAATATGTACTACTTTCCAGTATCGGTTCTTTTTTTACCAGCCCGATTAGGTGGTGTTACATCTTACAGATATATAAAAATAAGGAGATGTGGTATGATTGCCAATGAGACAACTATCCACCAAAGTTCAAATGAAGTGGATGTAAGCAATTATAGGCAACTCTACGGCCTTCAACAATGAGAAAAACCCATACCGTATGGTTGGCTATAAAAGGCCCGACATGAAAAATATGAAACAATTCAATTGAGAATACTAACGGCCTAATTTATAACAAAACAATTTACGAAAAACAAATATGACACACATGAACAACTACAATCACTGAACTACAGGCTACAGAATGTGGCGAAGTTAAACATCATTGTGAGTCTATACAAATTGTTTTTGCAAAGAATTCCGCTCAAGCCTGTGCTAGGGGCCGTCTTAAACTTGCAGTGAGGTGAGAGTTTTTTTACCCCATGTTGAAGGCCTCACTGTGACTTCGAGATGAAGAACAGCAATGCAAGCGCTGTTCCTTTGCCTTTTTTGTGTTTATTTTTTTGCTGTGTATGAACTGTTTTGTGTCTTTTTCCTTGGCTATTATTAACTTTCAAATTTGTGGTAACTCAGGCGTTTGCCGCCATATTGAATTGCTACAATAAATATATAAATGTTCGATTAATGCAGCAGAATCAAAAATGAAACAACACCTGCCTCAAAAACTATATTTAAATGAGATACTATCCGAATTTATGTGTGCAATTCCTTTCGTATGACGTCGTGTTTTGCTCATATAAAAATGAGAATGGAAATGGGGAATGTGTCAAAGAGACAACAACCCGACCAAAAAGCAGAAAACAGCCGAAGGCCACCAATGGGTCTTCAACACAGCAAGAAAATCCCGCGGCCGGAGGCGTGCTTCAGTTGGCCCCTAAACAAAAATGTGTACTAGTTCAGTGATAATGGACGTCATACTAAACTCCAAAACATATAAATGAACTAAAATTAAAAATCATACAAGACTAATAAAGGCTAGAGGCTCCTGATTTGGGACAGGCGCAAAAATGCGGCGGTATTAAACATGTTTTGTGAGATGCCAACCCTCCCCCTATACCTCTAGCCAATGTAAAAAAAACAAACACACAGCAGTACGCACAGTAAAACTCAGTTTAAAATAAGTCCGAGTCCGATGTCAGAATAGGTAACAGAAGAAACTAAGCAAAATGACAATGATACATAAATTAACAAAGGACTACTAGCTGTTACTGACATGCCAGCTCCAGACCTCAATTAAACAATTTAACTGATTGAAAGATTATGTCTTCATCATATGAAAATCAAGCACAATCCCTCCCGTTAGGGGTTTAGTATCATACCATCATAAAATGTATGTTGACACTCAGTCCTGTCTCTGGTGGATAGTTGTCTCATTGGTAATCATACCATATATATTTCCGTATTTTTAGAAAGTCCTTACAAGATGATTTTTGCTGGTGTTTTAGATTTATGACCATGTATCTATTGAATATACTGATGGTATGTCTGAGTGAATCAACCACAATCACAGGCACTTTTATTATCAACACCATAGAGTGATTTTAACTGGATCAACCTGTGTGTATTGTATCTCATTGTCAGTAAATCTTTCAGTTAGAATCCAAGTATTAGGGTAGTAGACAGTGAAATCGGGATGCGCATAGTTTTATTTAATTGATAAAATATCGATTTGTATTATTTATATCATACAGATAGTAGAAGTAGAGGGTTCAGTATAATGTTCCCAATATGACCCTTTTTTTCTAGCAATAATTTTCCATAAGGATTTATGGGTCATTAGCATAGCGTAACGTAGTTAAAACAATGACTAGGTAAGAAATTGCTAGGCTTTTTCTTGAATTGTTCTTTTAAAGCAGTGGCTATTTTGCCGGCTGCCTGACATGAATATTACGTCTGTCGAACCAGAAACATATAATGAAATATTGTATTATATGTCTCTGGTTGAACAATGCGCTCCAAGGCTTATTGTCTTTAACAATGAGCATAACCCTTACCGTATACTGAGTCAGCTATAAATGGACCCACATGACAAAATGGGAAGTTTTCCAACGAAAAAGTTAACGTCCTGATTTATGACAAATTAATATACGAAAAACAATAACTGAATAATAATAGGCTCCTGACTTTGGACAGGCACATACAGAATGTGGCGGGTGACTTTTGAAAAGATAAAACGAATAATCCATTATTTAAAATGATTTTATAACTCACTGTTTGGTGAATATAAATATAATGCAGACTTCAATAAATGGTTAAGATTCGGAGAAAGTTTGAATCACATTCTAATAAGGGGTTTAAGAGGAGTTGCGGATACTAAGTGGGCACCCCCTATTTAAAGCAATGGCAAACTCCATGATATGCGTAGGGAAACCCAAATTGAAAAAATTCCCATCAAAAACTAGAAAAGAGTGAGCAATGGCATTATATTGTTAAGATTCTGAGAAATTTCAATAAATTCTAAAATGGGGTAGAGTAGGACTTGCAGATATAGAATATGTACCCCATGAAGCAATGGTAAATTTAATAATGTTTGCATCAAAAACAAAATAGGTGCACAATGGCATTATATGGTTAAGATTCTGAGAAAAAATTCAATAAGTTCTCCTTTCCATTGACTCCCCCCACCTCAGTAATGGTTTATTGACTATGAAAGATTTCCAAGATTGTGATTTGTTAAGTTTAATAACAAGAGTGCACACGCTGATTTGTCTCGGCTGCTTTGATATTCACGATTTATTTTATATTGATATTCCTAAAGATAAAGTTTTACTACAAGTATCACATGAAGTTTTAAAACATTATCAAATTTCCATGAAAATGAGGTCAAGTTCAGATAAACCAAGCCAAAAAGACATGTACACCTTATAATCGTTACATACACCAAATATAGTTGACCTTTTGCTTATAGTGTACAGGAAAGAGGCCAAACCATGAAAACTTATTATTGACTAATGAACCATGAAAATGGGGTCACGGTCAGATGAACCCTACAATCATTCCATATATCAAATATGGTTGACTTTATTTTTTATAGTATCAAAGAAACATACTTAACCAGGAAAACTTATCCGGTTTGACCAATGAGCCATGAAAATGAGGTTAAGAGTTCAGATGAACCCTGTTCGACAGACATGATCACCTTAAAATCATTCCATACACCAAATGTAGTTGACCTATTGCTTATAGAAAAACAGACCAAATCAAAAAATCTAAACATGGACCAATGAACCGTGAAAACGAGGTCAAGGTCAGATGAAACCTGTCAGACTTGACATATACACCTTTCAATCATTCCATACACTAAACATAGTTAACCTTTGCTTACAGTATCTGAGAAACGGACCTAATGTAACTTTAACTTTAAACACTGATCCATGAAATGAGGTCGAGGTCAGGTGAACCCTGTCTGAAGGACATGTAGACCTTCAATGCAAGGAACCCATATACCAAATATAGAGTATGAACTATTACTCATAATAAGAAATTCACATAACAAAAAAAAACTCTACTTTTTTTTTTAAGCAGTCATTGAACCATGAAAATTAGGTCAAGGACAATGGGAATACGACAGACAGAAACTTTGTAACAGAGGGCATCTGTATACAAGGTATGAACATTCCAGGTCTACTTCCCTCTGAAATGTAAAGTTTAATACAAATAATTTACGCCGCCGCCGGATCTCGATCAGTGGACTTGATCATGTTTTTTTCTCAAACTGTCATTTCGTCTCTTCACTAGATCCATTGGATGTGCACTGATCGATATTTTGTTTCGGATGTATAATTTTTTTATTTATTGTTATTGGCTTTGAGCAAGTCGCTTTCAGTAACTGCGAGTGCTCTCATATCGGTAATAGTCATTTTCAAATGATTTTTACAGTTAGTTCTTATGTTGTGCTGTAACACCACTGTCCCAGGTAGGGGGAGGATTGAGCACCTACAAACATGTTCAACCCCGCCACATTCTGTATGTGCTTGTCCAAAGTCAAGCCTGTAATTCGGTGGTTGTCGTTTGTTGCTGTTTATCATATTTGGTTTTCGTTTATTGTTTTGTACATTAATCAGGCCACGTTGAGTTTATCGTTTAAATTGATTTACATTATTTCATGTCGGGGCTTTTATAGCTTTCTATGCTGTATGGGTTTTGCTCATTGTCGAAGGCCATACGGTGACCTTTAGTTGCTAACATATACGTCATTTGGTCTCTGGTGGATGTAATGTATGTCTCATTGGCCATCATACTACATTCTTTTTTATATTTAAAGTGGTACACAAAAGAACATTCATTGTGTTTATTAACAAAATATAAATATAAAAATGCAGACACATCTATACAAATAATATAAACAGATTCATAAATAAATATTACATCCTTAATGGTCCATGATTTCATAGCTGAACACGACTGTCGACAATGAGCCATATGGAACTATCCGAACACATTCATATTATGCACAATGTACTTGACAAGTTTAGTCTTTCAAAGGGGTGAAGGCAAGGGTAAATGGAGATAATTCTTTGCAATCATTAATGCATTTGTGAAAACCAGTTTTATGAATGCTTCTTAATGTGAAACAGAAGTAAAGTAGACGGTGTTACTTTGAAGCTTACAATATATTTATGAAAATGGTGGACACAAACGCATAAGTGATTTTAAAGTGTTATTTCCCTTATCCTTAATTCAGTTTCCCTTGACTCTCTTCCTGATGTTCCAATTCACTCCATCGTCAATTTGATCCACTCTAAACGGAAATATGAATTGTAGAGGAATTAGGCGCAATGCGCCAAATACAGATCTTAAATTATCCAGGGCGGTGTCGTGTGAATAGATGTTCATTTTCTTGGTACTCTCAAATGAGGTCATACCGTAACAGATCAGGAACAAATGATAATATGTGAAGAATATAGCACTGAAAAAGCACCCAACCGTGAAAAACAAATGAAGCGTTAGGAAAAACTGGAAAAATGTCATGTTCCCAAATAACATCTGGAAAAATGCAACTGGTGCAAAGTAATTGAGGATATCAAAAAGGGTCAGCGGTATTGTTTGGTTGAGGTAGGTGACTTGTAGGAAAGAGGCGAATGCATTGCACCAGATTAGTGATATACATAATATAATGAAGAACCGCTCATTATAGAATCCAACGCAGGAATTAGTGAAGAAGCAGTGATGATCTCTTTTCAGAACACACTTGTTGCAGTACTTGCAGTGGAACGCTCTTGGTGGGACATCAACCTGAAATACAATAAAGCTTTTTAATTATATTTGTAGCTTACATGTAATAAGTGCTAGAGTTAATAAAGACACTCGGTATGCATTCTCAATTTGGCAAAATGTGTACTACTTGGGCTTTTTTACAGAATGCTCAAAATGTGCAATAATCACTCACATATTTGCTTTCAATGTAAAATTTAAAATTGATTGCTGTTAGCGAAGCTATTTCGGTGATGTGCAATCTTTTTAAATTCTTTAATACTACAGCTAGAACACTTCTTGTTGTCTTTATCTATCTAATAAAGAAACATAGTGATATTTCGTGCAATTTCGATTTCTTATCACGTCGCTTTTCTTCACAAATAGAGGCTCGTTTAGGGGAATAAAATACTGTTTTGTATTCGGTACTCGGTAAACCTCGACCTTCTCCAGTTTCTAAGCCTCGTACAAAAAAGTTGATATTTTTCTGACATTGACTTACATGTAATATTGTCTATTATGGAACGCCACAGCTGTCTTATGTGGAACTCTGACATTACTTTATGTTGTTTTATTATTACTTGATGATATTTTGTCTTTACTTAATATGGTTTTGACATTACGTAATGATGTTTTGATATAACTCAATATGGAATAGTTATTACTTAATGATATTTCGATATTACACGATATGGTTTCGTATTGATTTGATATAGTTTTGTCATTACTCAATATGGTTTTGTCATTACTCGATGTGGTTTCACCATTATTTAATGTGGTTGTGTCATTAGTCAATGTGGTTTTAACATTACTTGATGTGAATGTGACTTAACGTTATGTAGTTGTCTCATTACATGATGTGGTTTTGTTATTTTGTAATGATGATTTGCATATTCTTTATATGGTTTTAACATTACGTAATGATGTTTCAAAATTTGACGATTTTACACTACATGATGTGTTTGTTTCATTATTTGATGTGGTCCTGTCATTCTTTGATGTGGTTATCCCATTACTTGATGAGGTAAAATCACGTGACCAATTCGGAAAAACCTGTTCTATTTTTAGATAGATTTACATGTTGTATGTGCCTTGGATGAGTGTGGCCATCCATCGAATTAGAGTTCAAATTAAAGTTCGGGTTACTGCTTGAGTTATACTTTGAGTTAGTCTTCGATTTCGAATTCAAGTCATTATTAGAATTAAAGTTTTAGTTAGCACTGAGTTTCGAGTTGGACTTCGAGTTTGAGTCACATTTAAAGGTAGAGTTCTAGTTACAACATTAAATTTGAGTCACTTTTTGAGTTTGAGTAAGATTCGAATTTAAGTCTCATTCAGATTAATTAAGATTTTGAGTTGAAATTCGAGCTATCTTATATGAGTTCGTAATTAAATTTTCTATCGCGGAACAAGGACTTTTGCTCGGGCTTCCGAAAAGAGGGCTCCTGGGTATGCGTACAAAAGATAAACAATGTTACAGTATACAAAGCGTAACATACATGTAGAAGTTGAAATAAAGTTAGATGTGGTGTGATTGACAATGAGACAACTATCCACCAGAGTTTAAATGCAGTGGGTGTAAGAAATCATATATAGGCAACCGTACAGCCTTCAACACACCGTATAGTCAGGTCAGCTACAAAAGGCCACCATGCACCATGTGAAAAAATTCAAACGACAAAACAAACGGTCTTATTTATATTTAAACAATCTACAAAAAAAAAAGACACACATTTATACAACGACAACAATTGAACTTCATGCTCCTGACTTGGGACAGGTACATAAAGAAAGTGCACGTGGCGGAGTTTAACATGCATGTGAGCGCTAAATCCTAACCTTACATCGGACTGTTACAGTTGTGTAACAGCACAAAACGAGAAAAAAATGTAAATTAGACAAAGTGATGCCGCCGCACTCAACTCATTTAAATTAACCGCTTATACAGACGGACGGACGGACAAGGGTAAAACATTATGCCCCCAACTTTCAGCTGCGGTGGCATACAAAACAGTTTCATTTCGCTGACTCAATAGATCGGTATGACTGGGTAATATAAATCCATCGGGGTGATCTCGGATGCTCCAGAAAGGCACCCGTCGTGTTATTCGAGAAAGTACAAACCCAGTGATTTGGTTTTATTTGGTAGTTCACATTCAAGGAAAAGATGGCGGTATTATGGTTACGACCACTGGAACATGTCCGTCGTCACATGTGAAACAGATATTCCAAAAAGTTTATTTTTCAATTAGTGCGAGGTAGATCAGGGAATTCAATTGATTACAAATAAAAGATTGATATTCATATAAGTTCGCTAAAAAAAAATTCGGATAATTCTTATTTTATAGTATTTATGCTTTGTCGCTAAGTCCGAGCCCCCCTCCCCCCGTTTCCCTGTAACTTTAGTGTGAGTTGATTGGAAGTGTTTCATTTGTTAACAATAAAGTTCAAGTCTTTTGATTTGTGCCGAGCCTGCTACATCAATGTAGCGGCAGTGATACACAACAAACCTATATTTCGTCGTTGATGGTGGTGTCGGCGTCTCCATCTCCATTTTTTTTAATTTCTATTGAGTTTAACCTTTCATTATACATGTTACTAAACATGTATGCCATCATAATTTTGTACTTTTAGAATATCATACTGTATTTGTTTACCTCAACTATTGTATCTGTATTTATATTGTATGTTTCTCTGTAAACTTGTAATTAGTTTTTAGAGAATAAAGTATCTATTTATCTATCTATCTATCTATCTATCTATCTATCTATCTATCTATCTATAGATTGTTAGGTTTCTAGTTTTTAAATTTTTTTATTTCGGGACCTTTTATAGCTTACTATAGGGTATATGTTTTGCTTATTGTTGAAAACCATACAGTTTTGTTTTAGTTTAATAAAACCGAATTAAACTGTTTTGACATGATAAATTTGTAAACCTCCATGAAGTGTTTTAAAACTTGTATAGGAGTTATTCCTCAATTTCAAGAAAAAGCATCTACAGAAAAACATTTTTTTTTAATTTTTTTTTTTACCGATAAATATATAGATAAGTGTACAGCCGATCGGCATGACGCTTTTACACTTACAGCAGCAATATCAGGCGAGACACAGGGTTCCGTGGAATATTTTACAAATTCATTACAAAAATACTGCTTCCGTTTGAGAACTTAGAATAAAAACAACAAGACCAAGTGGTTTGGGGATATCCCAATTATGTCCGAAATACTGTAAACTTTTTAATACTTTTTTTTTATTGTCTACCGTTCCCCTTTTTCATACCAAACAACTCTGAACAACCACTCGAACTTTAATTTTAACTTTAACTCAATGGATAGCGATATCCATTCAAAGCACATTAAACAAATGATATATTGAAATCTGTTTAAAAATAGAACATATTTTTTTCCGAAATGGTCACGTGATTTTACCTCATCAAGTAATGGGATAACCACATCAAAGAATGACAGGACCACATCAAATAATGAAACAAACACATCATGTAGTGTAAAATCGTCAAATTTTGAAACATCATTACGTAATGTTAAAACCATATAAAGAATAGGCAAATCATCATTACAAAATAACAAAACCACATCATGTAATGAAACAACTACATAACGTTAAGTCACATTCACATCAAGTAATGTTAAAACCACATTGATTAATGACACAACCACATTAAATAATGGTGAAACCACATCGAGTAATGACAAAACTATATCAAGTCAATACGAAACCATAACGTGTAATATCGAATATCATTAAGTAATGACTATTCCATATTGAGTTATATCAAAACATCATTACGTAATGTCAAAACCATATTAAGTAAAGACAAAATATCATCAAGTAATAATAAAACAACATAAAGTAATATCAGAGTTCCACATAAGACAGCTGTGGCGTTCCGTATCTATGACTCATTCTACAGCTGTTTATAAATTAAGAATACATTGTATACCGTAATGCCTTGACCCAACTATACAATTCCAAGTGAATAAAATCAGAGAGACTTGGTTCCTTAAGCTTGTATTAGAATAAAAAAAGACTTTTTTATTTTCAAATAAGGTCGTATTAAAGAGTCTTATGTGATCATGGAAGTATTAAAAGAAACAAATTGATATGTACATTAAATTTGTAATTTTGTCAAGCACTTGTTATTAGCAGTTGCAAAAGTAATTGGCGCGACTTTACTTTTCTTATTCTGGGCCTAATTAAGAACAGAGACATATATACACATGTATATATGTCTCTGTTAAGAAATAGGCGCGTAATATTAAAGACAAACACACATTGATTGGTCGTGTGTTCTACACATGTAAATCCAGTTATAATTATTTATGATACTTCACATGGATTTAATTTAAAAAAATGTTAAATATTTTCTTATGAAATTGTGATTTTCCTTCAGTTTTAAAATCTGAAATCGAAATTTTTGGGAAGACTGATCATGACTGATCATACGACAGTGCAGTGAAATAGGTAATTGGTTGAAATTATAATATAAGTCAGAAGCGTGAAATCCAGTGGTTATCGTTGTCATAAATTTGTTTCAGCATAGAAATCAGACGTTTGGCTTATTTGAGTACGAGCCTAAACATTTGAGAACAAGGGAAGTGTAAATAATTACGTAGAAATTTGCCAACTTAATTCTACGACATTTGGTCTCTGCATGGTGCAAAGTTTTCTAATTGGCAATCATACCACATCTTCTTATTACGATATAAGTAGAACTAAAGGGTTGTCATGTAGTTCTCTGTATCTGTTTTGATTAGATAGATAAGTATTTTTACCAAAGACAATAAGCACTGGCTATACATAAACATACAAACATATATATCATTTGGTCTCTTGTGGAGAGTTGTCTCATTGGCAATCATACCACATCTTCTTATTTTTATATATCTGTCCACATTTATAAAACTTTATCGATAAACATATATCCTAATTTATTCATTATATTTTCTGGTTAGATAAATCGATTATTGAGACTTTTAATCAAATCCGTGACACAAATCGAATATGAACTTTAATATTTAGGTGACTTATAGACCCATTGGGTCGGATGTATATGTATATATTACGGTATGTTAAATTATGCTCATTGACACATTATTGTAATAATTACACAAGTCACTATAATAAATAATCTACTTACTAACTTTATAAACATTGTATATATAAATGTGTGAGATCACAGAAACATTTACTATAACTTTTAATCACATGCCTATGCTTACTGGACACCCGTGTAATTAAATTAGGAGAATATAATCTTTTTAAAATGTTATGATTTAAGTAAACAAAAACAACTGTTTAACATACGAGATAATCTGTCAACTATGATTTATATTCAAGTTATGACAGGACAATAACAACTTCAACATTTTATTCAAATGAGGGAATTGTGATGTTAGTCTTGTCAGAAAACCATGATTTCAGTGTTTACTATGCACATCATGTGATTTTATTTTCAATTTTGCAGATTAAATATATATATAGTAACTTTATGTATAATTAGTCTTTTTCTTTAATCTAGATATATAAACATGATAAAATACAAACCACTTTTAAATCCTAAATTTATTTTTTGTCAGCAGTTGCACAGGCGCTTGATACAAGATTAAGATTAAAAAAAAGCATTGTTTGCACTGAATATTCAATTTCCTACTTGTTTTTAAGTATGGGTAGTAAAATAAGGTAAGACAAACTTAGTAGTCACTAGTGTTCAGTATATGGTATAAAAATACGGTAGGTCTTTTCACCACCGAACACCACCTAAAAATTGATTAAATTATACTCAATTTAATTTATTTTTATCGTTTTATTGTGTAATATTACTGTTTATTTCTTGCAGGTTGGTGGTTTTTTGGGTGTTCGGTGGTGAAAAGACCTACTCATAAAAATAGAAAATTGGCTATTCAGTGCAACCAATGATTTTTCTCTTAATCTTGTACCCATGGCCAAGCGCCTGTGAGCAGTTAGTGACTTTATTTGCAGATAACGTTACTATTAAAAAGGTTAATCGCTAAATAAATTTTGGAACCATAAACGAACAGACGAAAGTTATAATTTTACCTGACAATTAGGACAGTTGTACCAGCCTGCTGGTGTTTGAAGAATCCCGGGGTGATGTTTTTCCTTCACCGCATTGTCAACTTTTGATACATCAACTAAATAGGTTCCCATCCAATTAATAAACGATTGCCAAGCCGAAAACCAAATCAATACAAATATCACGCTGGTTTTTATCCAGTCATCGCCATACAGTTGAAAAGTCAAAATGTGGCCTTCAATGAAAAGAGAAATCCACATTCCCCAGAAGAAAGCCACGCCAATTGTGTTTATCTGTGTTTTTTTCACCGTAAAATCTCTGTTCTTGTAATGATCGGAAAGTTTTTCAGTCAAAGTTGGTGGTTTTCGTTCTCTTAACTCCATCTCTACTGAATGACAACGGTATACTGAGAACAAATCACGAATAAGTCTCAACAAGTGCTCGCTTGATTGGGCCGGAAGTTTACACGTTTCCATGTAAATAACCAGGTAAAATTAATTTATTGCACCAATGACCGACATTATAATTCCGTGCTACACTTTTGTACTTACATTGAAATAAATAAATAAATAAATAAATAAATAAATAAGCACTTTTTTATTTAAAATTGTTGAAAACCCTGTATCTCTGTGTTTGAACGTGTTAGTTTGGAGAAAGATGGTATATATGTATACAAGAAGATGTGATTACCAATGAAACAAATCTAACCAGATACCAAATGACGTAGAAGTTAACAACTATAGGTCAACCTTCAACAATGAACCAAACCCATTCCGCATAGTAAGATATAAAAGGCCCCGAAATGACAAATGTAAAACAATTCAGACGAGAAAACAAATATGATGTACATCAACGACTGAATTACAGGTTCCTGGCTCGGGACAGACACCACAAACAGAAATGATGCGGCGTGGTTAAACATATGTTTGCTTATAAGTCTGAGTGGACGGACAATGACTATTGGACAAGACTTACTTACTCACTGGGATTGAATTACCAGCTTAGTGAGAATATTGTAATAGGAGATTTGAACTATAATTTATTTTCAATTCATAATAATAAGTTTTATGATACAATGAATCTTTTTAATCAAGAAAATTTAATAAATAAACCAATAGGGTGACTAGACACAGAGGCACATTGCTAGACCCGCAATCTACTAAAAATATCGATCAATCGTAACTTGCGTTTATGAGTATAGCGAAATCAGATATAGAAGTATATATATTTTAATTAGATTGCCAGACCCGATAATAATCAGCGACACAATTAAATATTCTATTGCCGACGTACTTAAATTACCGTCTGAATTAAGTGATCATGATGCATCTTTATTAATTTTAGAATGTCCAAGATTTACAATTTGGTTGTACGATAAAGCAGATTTAAATAAATTTCCTTTAAGACTTCATTCTGTCAGTTGGGATGAACTTTTTTCTGATGTTAATGACGTTGACGAGATGCGAAATACATTTACTGAAAAACTCCTTGACATCGCAAGGCAGATCATCCCAACTCGACATGTTTATATACGAAACAATGACAGACTATGGTTTGACAATGAATTAAGGAAAGAAATCCGTAGAAGAGACCAATTTCGTACAAAAAGCTTTAGAAACTAAAAAAGATTCAGATATTAATATATACGAAAAGCAGAGGAATAAAATTAAGTTAATAATTTGAATAAATTCGGTTGCAAAAGAAAAATTTGAAAGAAGCTTGGACAATATCGTCTTAAATAATATGGATAACCCCAAAACTTATTGGTAGGTAATGAAAATGCATATACAATCCAATAAAGGTTCAGGTGATTTACCTCGTTCACGACAAAAGCATGGACGATATAGTGCACGGAGACGACGAGAAATGTAATATCTTGAATAAATATTTTAGTCTGATTTCTTCCCTAGAGGAGTAGGTTGTTCCCGTCCCTGAAATTGAACCAAGAACCAATATATTTTGAATGATTTAGTAATTGAAAAAGATAAAATAGTTGATATAATTAAAATTTTAGATCCCAATAAGGTATCTGGTCCAGATGTCATAATTATAAGCCACCAAATGCTGAAAATTTGTCATGAACAAGAATGTGTCCATAGTACACGGATGCCCCACTCGCACTATCATTTTCTATGTTCAGTGAATCGTGAAATTGGGGGTAAAAACTCTAATTTGGCATTATAATTAGAAAGATCATATCATAGGGAACATGTGTACTAAGTTTCAAGTTGATTGGACTTCAACTTCATCAAAACTACCTTGACCAAAACCTTTAACCTGAAGCGGGACACACGGACAAACGGACGCACAGACCGAAAAACATAATGCCCCTAGGTGGGGCATAAAAATAGCAATTCCTTAAAAATGATTAGACTTCAACTTCATCAAAAACTACCTTGACCAAAAACTTTAGCTTGAAGCGGGACAGACGGACGAACAGACGCACAGACCGAAAAACATAATGCCCCTAGGTGGGGCATAAAAACTAGCAATTCCTTAAAAATAATATTTATCAAATCCCTACAACAATGTAAATTTCCCACCAGCTGGAAGACTGCAAATGTTATTACTTTTTTTAAAGGAGATAGTTCGTTACAATCTAACTATAGGCCACTATCGCTTATAAGGTGTATAGGGAACATAATGGAACGAGTCGTTTATAAACATGTCTTTAATCACCTACAGATAAATAAGTTAATATATGAGTACCAGTCTGGTTTTCTTCCAAAATGTTCACCAGCTTTTAGAAATTTACACCTGCATTTTAAATTCACTAGAAAATAGAGAAATTAGATGTTTTGTTTTCGGTGACTTTTCTAAAAGCTTTCGATAAAGTTTGGCATCAAGGATTGTTACATAAAATGAAACAGAGTTCTGGTTTGGGACCTCTCTTATTCATTATCTATATTAATGATATTGCTGAAAATTTGATCTCTTTATGTAGATTATTTACAGATGGCATCATAAAATTGAGAATGGAAATGGGGAATGTGTCAAAGAGACAACACCCCGACCATAGAGCAGACAACAGCCGAAGGCTACCAATGGGTCTTCAACGCAGCGAGAAACTCCCGCACCCGGAGGCGTCCTTCAGCTGGCCCCTAAACAAATATGTATATATACTAGTTCAGTGATAATGGACGTCATACTAAACTCCAAATTATACACAAGAAACTAAAATTAAAAATGAGTTTATAATTGATATGCATCTCTCAGCTACTTAAGTCGTGTCACGTCACAAATAAAATCAGTGATCCGTCACGACCTAAGTGAGCTGAGCGATTGGTCTAAGAAATGGCTGATGTCCTTTAACCCAGAAAAAACAGAAATTATGTTGTTTTCTTACATTTAAACTCCGGAATTGAAATTCATATTCAATGGTAAGAATATTCAAGTTACAGATTTTCATAAACATTGTGTGTTACATTTAGTAGGGATGCTAAATAGAACACCCATGTGGAAGGTATCATAAAAATGTATCCAATCATTTGAATGTACCAAGAAAATTAAAGTACAGATTAAGTATGAATAACTTAGAAAAGCTGTTCTTGCCTTTTATAAGATCGTTACTCGAATATGCCAGTGAAGTTTGGGATAATATGGGTACGGGTTATTGTAACAAATTACAGCAGCTGCAGCTTGAGGCAGCCAGAGTTGTAACAGGTCTTCCTAGTTTTACTAGTAGTAGAATTATTTATGATGAGATTGGTTGGGAAACATTAGCTGAACGAAGAGAAAGGAGGAAGTTACAGTTATTTTATAATATTCAACACAATAATGCACCAGCCTTTCTTCGCAATTTAATTCCACCAACTATCCACAGTACAGGACAATTGTTATAGCCCGCCCTCTTTTTTTCCAAAATCCGTTATTTTTTGTTTTCTATTAATTTCACTTATTTTCGCGTTTTTTTGATTATATGAACATAAATATACTAGAAATAACTTGTATTTGCTATTTACTATCAATTACAAGTTTACTATCCACAGCGGTCACTGATATATTATCAATGACCGCTGTGGATAGTAAACTTAACAGATCCGTCTTGTCGCTGTGGTGCTAAGCGTGAAGATTCGTATCATTTCTATTTTGAATGTCCTAATTATGCTATATAAGAATCAAAATATCAAATAACCTGAACTGGTTACCAGAGAAATCTCCACTAAATTTCAACATCTTAACATCCGGTGATTCGTCATTAACTAATGATGAAAATGAAAGAATTTTAAAGAATTTATATGAATTTATTAAAAAGTCAAAGAGGTTTCTAATTGATAATACTAGTATAGCACAATAAAGTGCATATATAGGTATATTTTGTACAACCATTCACATCATCACGCATCATCTTTTTAACATATCCAATATATATAATGTATTGTATTGTTTGCATGCATGCTTTGAAAATATTCTATTGTTATTAATTGTTCATGGGAGAAGACTTTATAAGTTTGATTAACTTGTGTCTCATCCCTTTTGCATATTTAAGCAAATCAAATATGCTTAAACTAAAAACATGTTTGCTGGCGCCAAAGCCTCGCAATAACCTGGGATTGTGGTGTAACAGTACAGCATAAGAACAAATTATAACAATAATTTGAAAAGGGCTTTACTCATCAGAACGATACAAAGAAAACAAAAACCCTCAAAAACAAACAAACAAAACACAAAAGTACAGTTCTGAGAGTCTTTTGTGTTTGTGTTAGTATTTTTTGGGCAGCAAACAGGTTTTACACCCCTACATTCTGTATGTGACTGTCCCAAGTAAGGAGCCTATAATTTACTGGCTGTCGTTTGTTGCTGTATATCATATTTGTTTTTCGCTTGTTGTTTTGTGCATTATAAACCAGGCCGTCAGTTTTCTCGTTTGAATTGTTTTACATTTATAATTTCGGGGCCTTTTATAGATATGCAGTATGGGTTTTGCTCATTGTTAAAGGCCGTACAGTGGCCATAGTTGACTACGTCTACGTCTTTTGGTTTCTGGTGGAGAGTTTTCTCACTGGCAATCATACCACATGTTCATATTTCTATATATGTTAAATAAGTTAAGAGGCTATTAACTCGATCAATTCTAAGTGGATGAGGACGTAACCACATAAATGTATACACAATAGTTTCACTTTCGATGATTATTTCCTAATACAATAACTGAAACTGTTGATATGAACACAAAAAGAACTTTGTACTATTTGCTCATCTGGTCAATCGTGATCATGGATTCAGCTAATCGTTAAGGTAAAATAGTTACATATTTGTTTATTATGATAACCTTAACCTAAATATCTTTTTCTTCGGGAAGGGAAGTACATTTCTTATATTATTGAGGCCACACATATTTGTATACTAGTTTCCAGCCTCCCGGCAAAAAAAGGATAGGTATGTAGATAAATAGGTAAAAGGATTTTATTTTGAAAAATATATTTACTTAGACCTAAAACAGGTTGTTTTTAACATTG